AGTGGGAATCATTACAGAAAGCCTCGAGCACAGCTTCCCAGACTACCAGCAATTTTAACGTGGAGGAGTGTAGTGATTGCTACCCACAAGTTGTTCGCCCCTTTAATAAAGCTAGTTTTTCGTGCCCCGTTCAATAAACACGAGTTGGTCTAAGCCAATTAATAAATTAATTCACGAAGTTTATTGTGTTATTTCTGAGTTACTTCAACTTTCATTTTTAATCCTTCCAATTGCAAATGATGAAATTTGATTTGAACTTTTGACTGCATTTTTCTCATTTTTTCCGTTGCTCGACGCTATCCACGCATATTCATAAGCATCAACTTTATAGAGATATTGGAACTGATTCTCACATTTACCAGTGCCAATGTCAATGCAGTAGCTATCTTCAGATTTAGCTCGAATTAATCCAGGTTTGATTGTTCCAAAGATGTTTGCTAAACCAATGTATGTTGGCACTGACTTATGATGACCTGCATAGACGCCAAATTCGGACAAATTTCCAGTTCCCAAATAATCAATCCAGTAGTTTTCTAAATTAAAAAGTTCATAAATTAAGATTTTTTTTGGATTTAGATTCTAATCTTAATCTGTAAAGTTTACAGCATATTAAGGGCAACACAAAGGAGGATATGATGCACAAAACTCATACTTGACAATTTTTTAAGTTGGTCATGTTATAAAAAGTTGGGGAAGTACTTACCGCAACTCTGTGGCATCATTGTGGTGATCAAGTCACTCGTAGTCGTTGTTGTTGTAAGAATTCTTGGTGTCGTTGACTCTTCAGGTATAGCAGTAGTGATTGGCTCTGTAAACGTTCGATTGTCTTCAGAACATAATAACATTTCATTATCAGTATTAGCAATGTACCAATTGTAAGTAGTTTCATTTAAAAATGCCATGCGTTTGACTTCGAGAAGTAATCCAACAGTTGTATTTGGATTTTCGTAATCTATACGTCCGACGGGAACTGACCATGAAAAATAATTCAATAAAACTATATTTGTTGTATAATATGAAAATCATAGTGAACATGATATGAAAATCAGTTAATAAACATATCACAAAGATATAACATGGCGCAGTTGAAAATTAGTGATTTGGTGACTCCAATCGACCTAAACGCAAACTCTTTGAGTGAAGAATGGAAGAGATTTAAGAGTCAAATAAACTGTTTGTTTGAAATCAACGAAATTAACAGCAAAAACGACAAAATCAAAATTTCATATCTGACGTTACTCATTGGAAATGATGCAGCTGACTTGTTTGATCATCTAGGATTGTCTGAAGAGGATAAGAATTGTTTTGAAAAAGTCATCGAGGGTTACGAAAATTGCTTTAGACTGAAAACAAGCATTTACGTAAATCGGATGAAATTCTATCAAGCGTTCCAAGACGATACAGAGACATTTGTTCAGTTCGTGTCAAGAGTTCGAAAGTTGGCTACAAAATGTGACTTCAAGGAGAAAGAAGAACAAATTAGAGATCGGTTGGTGATCGGAATGAAAAATTCAAAAATGCAAGAAAAATTAATTGTTGAAGAAGAATTTTCATTACATGCTATAATTGAGAAAGTGCGTTTCCATGAATGGCAGATCGATGAATTGGCAAACTTGAAGGAAGAAAAGAATCTGAAGATCAGCAATAAAAAGTCTTCAAACAACTACAATTGTACCAAAGAGTCTTCGAAAATCTTTACGCCTGCAGCTAGCAAGTATATGAATGACTGTCAGCTTGAATGTAGCGAAGCAGTATGTAAAGAAGGAGGAAAGGTTGGTGCAATGAAAAACAAGAATAGTAGCAAAGAAGAGTTTATTGTTAGTTCTGATTCAGTCAAGTACGTTAGTAGTCTGATTTGGTATAAGAAGTTGAAAATTAGTGACAAGTTGGTTAAATTTAAATTAGATACAGGAGCACAAATTAATACAGTTACTGAAGGAATAGTGAAGAGTTTTAAGCAACATTTTGAAATCATTCCAAGTAAGGTTAAGCTTCAAGCTTACTCGGGTGGGATTATCAAGCCCATCGGCAAAGTTATATTGCCAATAGTTAGTGATAAGAATACATTCTATGAAGAATTTGAAGTTTTGAAAGGAGATTTCGAGCCATTGCTAGGATTAAAATCCTGTGTAAATATGAATTTGATTTCGCGCATTGACGCCATTAATAATGAAAAACATCTTCATAATGATACAGAAATGGTTAAGTTTAAACAGCATTATAAGGATGTTTTTGAAGGTTTAGGTAAATTTAAGAAGCCTTTCAAATTATATTTACATGAAAAAGCTATTCCATTTGCCGCGGCACCTCGTAAAATTCCATTAAAATTAAAGGATAAAGTCCAAAATAAATTGAATGAGATGGAAAATCTAGGTGTGATTGAGAAAGTGAATGAACCGCGTGAATGGATTAATAATATTGTAATTGTTGAGAAAGCTGATAAAGTAAGAATTTGTATGGATCCCAAACACTTGAATAATGCCCTTAAGAATTTTCGTTATCCAATTCCATCACTTGATGAATTGAAGCAGGATTTAAAGGATGCTCAATTCTTTTCTGTTTTAGATTTGAAAGATGGATTTTGGCATGTTGAATTAGACGAGGATTCTAGGAAATTATGTAGTTTTAGCACTCCGTTTGGGATGTACCAATTTAATCGTTTACCTTTCGGCATCAAAATAGCTTCAGAAACTTTCCAAAAATATATGTATGATACCTTTGGAGATTTGAAAGGTGTCAAATTTTATATTGACGACATTATTATTTTTGGAAAGGATTTAAAAGAGCATGACTTAAATGTTAGAGCAGTTATGCTAAGAGCCAGAGAAAATGGCATTAAGTTCAATTCGAAAAAAGTTCAGTTTACTGAAACTTCGGTCAAGTTTTTTGGCCATATTTTTTCAAAGAATAATGTTAGGATTGACCCAGCTAGAATTGAAACAATCACGGACATTCCAGTTCCGACTAATAAAAATGATGTTCAGAAATTTTTAGGTGTTGTCAATTATATGAGAAACTTTATTCCTCATTTACCGAAGTTAACGCATAATATTAGAGAGTTACTTAAAAAAGATAGTGAATTTGTTTGGCAAGCTCAACATCAGGTTGAATTTGAGAATCTTAAATGTGTTATAAAAGATTCAGCCTGTTGTACTTTATTCGATGAAAAAATACCTTTAGAACTTGAAACGGATGCATCGTCGTATGGTTTGGGTGCATGTTTGAAGCAAGGTGAAAATATCATATGTTATGCATCTAGATGTTTGTCTGATATTGAAAAGGAATATGGACAGATTGAAAAAGAATTTTTGGCAGTTTTCTTTGGGTGCAAAAAGTTTCATGATTATGTTTATGGTCGTCGTGTGATTGTGAAGTCGGATCATAAGCCTCTTGAGAGTATCATGCTTAAAGATTTGTCAAAGATAGGGTCCAGAAGACTACAAAGATTACGTCTTAAGCTTTATAAGTATGATTTGCATTTAGACTATAAACCAGGTAGTAAGATTCCCATTGCTGACTATTTATCTCGTTACACAAGTTGTAACGTTGATAAAGACTATGAAGAAAAAGTGATGAAACAAATGGTTCATACACTGAGCATAGGAGATGAAAAGTTAAAATTGTATCAGTTAGAAACTGATAAGGACAGTGATTTAAAGTTTCTTGCTGATTATTACAGTAAAGGTTGGCCGACTGATAAGTCAAAAGTTCCAGACAACGTTAAGTCTTATTATAAAATGAGAAATGAGATTTATGTATCGCAGGGATTAGTTTTCTTTGAGGATCGATTGATCGTTCCTAAGTCTTTGCGTGAAAAAGTTTTGTGTGATTTGCATGAAGGTCATATGGGAATGACTAAAACCTTGAAATTCGCTAAAGAGTCTGTATTTTGGCCAAGTATGGCACAGAGCATAGAGAATCTTGTTAGTTCTTGTGAATTATGCAACACGTTTGCAAAATCGAATAGGAAAGAGCCAATTATTCAGCATGAGATTCCTCCTAGAGCTTTTGAAAAGGTTGGATGTGATGTTTTAGAATTGCATGGAAAAAATTATTTAGTGTTGATTGACTATTTTTCCAAGTGGATTTGCTGCAAATATTTACCATCCAAGAATTCGAGTTCGATCATTTCTAAGTGGATAGAAATATTTGCAGATCATGGCGTTCCTAGAGAAATAATAGCTGATAACATGCCATTTAATTCGAGTGAATGTAGATCGTTTGCTAATGAATGGGATATTCTAATCATAACATCAAGTCCGCATTATCCACAGTCAAATGGTTTAGCAGAAAAGGCTGTAGGAATTGTTAAAAACATGATGAAAAAGACGAAAAATAGTGACCAGTTGTGTGTAGCTTTAATGAATTACAATAACACACCTTTGGGAGATTTAGACTTGTCTCCATCACAACTGGCACAGAATCGTCGTATGAGAACAAAAATAGTCACAAAAACCGAATCACTAGAACCACGCTTAAATAAGAATGTGGAAGAAAAGTTGAAGCATAAGAACTTAAAAGCCAAATTTTACTATAATAAAAATGTTTTTCCGCGAGGGGAATTTTCTGTTGGCGATAAAGTTTGGCTTCAATTGCAAAACAATACTTGGAAAGATGGAGAAATCATTGCTAAATGTAAACAACCCAGATCTTATGAGATCTTGCTTAGTAATGGTTCCATTTTTCGGAGAAACTCAAAGTTTCTCAGGTTAAATAAAAGCAGCAATATGATTACTCTTGAGGAAAGGAATAGTATAGGCGATGATGATTCATTTATTGAAAGTTTTTTCGACTCATTGCAACCACCTCAAATCCCACATGCAACTGCTGCAACTCCTCAACAAAACAACGTTGGTCCAGCTATCATAAATCAACCACAACTACGAAGATCATCGAGAATACCACAACCAACAAAAAGATATGGACTAACTTAAAGGGGGAGATGTTGTATAATATGAAAATCATAGTGAACATGATATGAAAATCAGTTAATAAACATATCACAAAGATATAACAATATTTGCATAATAATTCCAATCTGAAGTATTTTTCCAAGTGTAATAAAGTTGACCTTTTTGTAGATATTTAAACTTGTCAGTGCATTCAATGTCTCCAATGTCGACACAGTAATTGTTTTCGGCAGTATGGCGAATTTGTCCAAGCAGCATTGAATTTGAGACATTTACTAGACCAATGTAGGTTAAGAATGTTCCTGCATGACCAGCAACTACTCCATCTATTGATAAATCCTCTTGTCCAGTGTAGTCGACCCAAGAATGATCTGGGGATGGAAAATTATGAAATTAATGGATGTTGAAAGGATTTTGGGAACTTTAAGGTGCCACTAAGGGATGAATTAATGAATGAGTATAAAAAACTGCGAGAGTGGATTTGCCACGGCTCCTCAATCACATTTAGCATGATCTTTCCCTTTGGACAATTGCCTATCAACTTAAAATTTATTACCCGGCTCAATTTGACGATGCTGAACCAGGTCAACAAATTTTATACTTACTACAAGATTGAGTTGGAACGTAATCTGGCATCGGTGGTGGTTCTGCCGTCGTAGGGTACACTACATTTGGAATTAAGCAGGATAAAACTTGATAATTGTCACGTTGAAAGTACCAACTATATGAAGATTCGTTCATGTATATTAAACCTAAATTATTTAAAATAGAACCGACAAAATCAGTTCCATTTTTTGTAATTTTTCCAACTTGGAAAGCTCCTGTAACTGAATTCTGTTCAAAACGTCCATTCCTAGATTCAATCCATAAGTAGTCGTATGAAACTAGTTTTTGAAAATAATAAAAATCTTTTGTGTAGTTTCCGAATCCATTGTCCATGTAATAACCTCCAGACGGGTCTATTAATATTGGTCCATTGACCATTGAACCATGTATTTTGACATATCCAATGTAAATTGGATTTGTATTGATGTGACCTCCTTGTATGCCTTGGACTGACAGATCTTCTGAACCTGTGTAGGGTGAATGAGAATATCCTGGAAAGAAATCAAGAGAATCAGGGAGTTAAGTTATGTTTAATGCACACGGTTAACTTAATGAATCTCCTCTTATGTAAGCCAATTCCAGTGCTGGTCAATCTTTACACCACGATATATATTAGTTTTTTATTAACTTAGCTTAAATTAATTTCAATTTAGCAAAAAATTCACTTAAAGAAAGTGAAATCAGCATACCGTGGCACAAAGGTTGGCAACCACTGCACTGCCATATTTTATTCACTTGTTCAGCAGACAAAATAAAACTTTATATGGCAAAACTGTCGCCACATTTTACTGACTTATCTGTAACTTACTACATCTATAATCTGGTTCTATTGATGTTAAATATGAAGTTGTTGTTTCAGTAATTGTTGTATATTCAGGCTCAAATTTTGTTGTGTGATCAGGAGTTGTAGTAATCTCGGTTGGCTCATAAGAAGTGCTACTTAAGACAGTGCAAGTCAAAACATCATATCCATCAGTCACAAATTCCACGTCATGTGTCGTCTCATTCACAAACTCAAAGCCTTTTTCATACTGCACAGAACCGATTGATGTAAAAGAATTTTTAATTATCCGTCCAATTGCGTGAATTCCGTCAATTGCATCATATACACCAATTCCATTTTGCGATGGTATCCAATTGTATTCATAAGTTGCAACTTTTTTGAGGAAATCGAAACTTTTTGTGCAAGTTTTGTCCTTGATGTAGACGCAGTAGCCATCGGTTGGACTGAAATGGATTGTGATCGTGATGTAACTGCCATTGACGATTGCTTTACCAACATAAACTGGATTTGACTCAAATAAACCGGCTTGAACTCCTTCGGTTGAGATATCCTCAGTTCCTGTATACTCAGTCATTAAGTTTGCTGGAATTATAAATAATTGATAATTTTTGACAAATTTTTTGGTACTTTTATGCCTTACCACAGGCAGGCGGAGGCGTTGTTAACAAACTTCTATCATTTTGTTGTAAGAATCTCCCAAAATTGTTCGAAATAAACATTCTGTCCATTAATTGCATGTAAAATCCATGGACAACAACAAGTTCCAACAATACAAATAAAATTAAAATTTTCATTTTTTAAGGTCCACAATACTGATATGCTGCCAACTCAAACGACGATTCTCAACTGAAAAAGAAATTTAACTTTAAGAACTTAAGAAGAATTGAGGAATTGAGAGAAATGAGATAAACATCAGCATGCATATGTGGCAGATTCAAATTCAATTTGAATCATAAAAAAAAGCTTTTTCTTCTTCTTCTTCTTGCTGATTTAACAAGTTCAGATGTATTAAGGGCGATTCTACGAATGATTTTTTCTACAAATTTGTCTCCAAATCTATATTTCTCTTTATCAATTGCATTACTCCCCATGTTTCATGTATTTAATAGTAGATTTTACCGATATCTACATAATTTTCTCACCCAAACATATTAAAAATGGTTAATTAAAGAATTATTTACATTCTACGAAAAATTACTCTGTTTCACATGAATTTTTTCGCCCAAATTTCCAAAATGTTTTCATTAATATCTTTAAGGTGGTAAAATTTCCAGTAATACTAAGTATACAAAGTTATAGCTTAAAGTAAAAGCTTCAAAACGATGTCAAAATCATATTTGTGGAAGCCTTAATTAAGCTGCAATTTGGATTGTACGAAAAATTTCATAAGTGAAACAGAGTAATTTGGAGACAATTCCAAAAAAAACTACCAAATATTAAAATTAAAACCATGAATTTCTCAATCCATAGCTAAGTAATTTGAGTGCAGATGTAATCATAATTCACAGTTTAACCAATAGAAAAGAAAATGAGAATTAGATTTTTGAAAAACTATGCACAAGTGAAAATAAAATAATTAAAAAATTTCATGCAATTGACACGGATTATTTTCATGAAACCTTTTCGTAGAATTGCCCTTAAGTATTTGAATCTGTAAATTGTCATTTCATCTTTTCTTCCTTCGCTTTAGTGCTTGACACTGCTCATGCAGCTCTAATTCGTCTCTGGAAAAACGGAATTTTAATTTTAAAAATGAAAAGCTTTCAAAAGTATATAATTTTTCCACGACTATAGTGCGCACATTCTCGAACATTATGCTCATTTCAAGTTCGAAGATAATGCACACCTTTTGAAGATAGTGCGCACCTTTTGAAGATAGTGCGCACTAATTTTTTGAAGATAGCACGTATCCAATTTTTATACTCATTCATATTTTTTTCTTCTTCTTGAAGTAAGCAAACACTTTGACCACAGCACGCATACTAGACCTAAAAATGAATATTATTTAAAATTTGTTTTTGAATTTATGTCTTAATTTTATTAAATTTTTCCATTCAATATTCGAAAAAAAGTGCCTGAAAACAAAATTGTGCACAAAGATTTAACCAAAACGAGGTCTGCATCTACGTGTACGGCATATTGCAATCAGATTTGTAAGTCGTCCTCTGCAGCTTGATGCAGCGCTTTGAATGATGGTGAAACGTTGCGCAATAACAGCTCTGATTGAGAAAATATGGCTAATCTTTTCAAATGCAATGTTTACAGAGACATAAATTGATCCAAAAATAACGCCTTGTCCTGTATTTCCAGGAACAGTTGGAGGTGTGAAAGGAATCATCGTTGTTATAGATACAGTTGTTACAGAGGGCAATGTTACTGGAGGAGGAGTGGTGACAGGAGATAAAGTGGTAGTGACTGGAATGGTTGTTGTAATTGGAACCGTAGTTGTATCTACAGGAACTGTTGTTGTATCCACAGGGACTGTTGTTGTATCCACAGGGACTGTTGTTGTATCCACAGGGACCGTTGTTGTATCCACAGGGACTGTTGTTGTATCCACAGGGACTGTAGTTGTATCCACAGGGACCGTAGTAGTATCTACAGTAACTGTTGTTGTATCCACAGGGACTGTTGTTGTATCCACAGGGACAGTTGTTGTATCCACTGGGACTGTAGTTGTATCCACAGGGACTGTTGTTGTATCCACAGGGACTGTTGTTGTATCAATTGGGACCGTTGTTGTATCCACAGGGACTGTTGTTGTATCAATTGGGACCGTTGTTGTATCCACAGGGACTGTTGTTGTATCCACAGGGACTGTTGTTGTATCCACAGGGACCGTTGTTGTATCCACAGGGACTGTTGTTGTATCCACAGGGACTGTAGTTGTATCCACAGGGACCGTAGTAGTATCTACAGTAACTGTTGTTGTATCCACAGGGACTGTTGTTGTATCCACAGGGACAGTTGTTGTATCCACTGGGACTGTAGTTGTATCCACAGGGACTGTTGTTGTATCCACAGGGACTGTTGTTGTATCAATTGGGACCGTTGTTGTATCCACAGGGACTGTTGTTGTATCAATTGGGACCGTTGTTGTATCAACTGGAACCGTTGTTGTGTCAACTGGAACCGTAGTTGTATCCACTGGGACTGTTGTTGTATCCACAGGGACTGTTGTTGTATCAACCGGAACCGTTGTTGTATCAACTGGAACCGTTGTTGTGTCAACTGGAACCGTAGTTGTATCCACTGGGACCGTTGTTGTATCCACAGGGACAGTTGTTGTATCCACTGGGACTGTAGTTGTATCCACAGGGACTGTTGTTGTATCCACAGGGACTGTTGTTGTATCAATTGGGACCGTTGTTGTATCCACAGGGACTGTTGTTGTATCAATTGGGACCGTTGTTGTATCAACTGGAACCGTTGTTGTGTCAACTGGAACCGTAGTTGTATCCACTGGGACTGTTGTTGTATCCACAGGGACTGTTGTTGTATCAACCGGAACCGTTGTTGTATCAACTGGAACCGTTGTTGTGTCAACTGGAACCGTAGTTGTATCCACTGGGACCGTTGTTGTATCCACAGGGACTGTTGTTGTATCCACAGGGACCGTTGTTGTATCCACAGGGACTGTTGTTGTATCCACAGGGACTGTTGTTGTATCCACAGGGGCTGTTGTTGTATCCACAGGGACTGTTGTTGTATCAATTGGGACCGTTGTTGTATCCACAGGGACTGTTGTTGTATCCACAGGGACTGTTGTTGTATCCACAGGGACTGTTGTTGTATCCACTGGGACCGTTGTTGTATCCACAGGGACTGTTGTTGTATCCACAGGGACTGTTGTTGTATCCACAGGGACTGTTGTTGTATCCACAGGGACCGTTGTTGTATCCACAGGGACTGTTGTTGTATCCACAGGGGCTGTTGTTGTATCCACAGGGACTGTTGTTGTATCAATTGGGACCGTTGTTGTATCCACAGGGACTGTTGTTGTATCCACAGGGACTGTTGTTGTATCCACAGGGACTGTTGTTGTATCCACTGGGACCGTTGTTGTATCTACAGGGACTGTTGTTGTATCCACAGGGACAGTTGTTGTATCCACAGGGACTGTTGTTGTATCCACAGGGACCGTTGTTGTATCCACAGGGACTGTTGTTGTATCCACAGGGACTGTAGTTGTATCCACAGGGACCGTAGTAGTATCTACAGTAACTGTTGTTGTATCCACAGGGACTGTTGTTGTATCCACAGGGACAGTTGTTGTATCCACTGGGACTGTAGTTGTATCCACAGGGACTGTTGTTGTATCCACAGGGACTGTTGTTGTATCAATTGGGACCGTTGTTGTATCCACAGGGACTGTTGTTGTATCAATTGGGACCGTTGTTGTATCCACAGGGACTGTTGTTGTATCCACAGGGACTGTTGTTGTATCCACAGGGACTGTTGTTGTATCCACAGGGACTGTTGTTGTATCCACAGGGACCGTTGTTGTATCCACAGGGACTGTTGTTGTATCCACAGGGACTGTTGTTGTATCCACAGGGGCTGTTGTTGTATCCACAGGGACTGTTGTTGTATCAATTGGGACCGTTGTTGTATCCACAGGGACTGTTGTTGTATCCACAGGGACTGTTGTTGTATCAACTGGAACTGTTGTTGTATCCACAGGGACCGTTGTTGTATCCACAGGAACCGTAGTTGTATCTACAGGAACTGTTGTTGTATCCACAGGGACTGTTGTTGTATCCACAGGGACAGTTGTTGTATCAATTGGGACCGTTGTTGTATCAACTGGAACCGTTGTTGTGTCAACTGGAACCGTAGTTGTATCCACTGGGACTGTTGTTGTATCCACAGGGACTGTTGTTGTATCAACCGGAACCGTTGTTGTATCAACTGGAACCGTTGTTGTGTCAACTGGAACCGTAGTTGTATCCACTGGGACCGTTGTTGTATCCACAGGGACTGTTGTTGTATCTACAGGGACTGTTGTTGTATCAACTGGGACCGTTGTTGTATCCACAGGGACAGTTGTTGTATCAACTGGGACTGTTGTTGTATCCACTGGGACCGTTGTTGTATCCACAGGGACCGTTGTTGTATCCACAGGGACTGTTGTTGTATCCACAGGGACTGTTGTTGTATCAACCGGAACCGTTGTTGTATCAACTGGAACCGTTGTTGTGTCAACTGGAACCGTAGTTGTATCCACTGGGACCGTTGTTGTATCCACAGGGACTGTTGTTGTATCTACAGGGACTGTTGTTGTATCAACTGGGACCGTTGTTGTATCCACAGGGACTGTTGTTGTATCCACAGGGACCGTTGTTGTATCCACAGGGACCGTTGTTGTATCCACAGGGACTGTTGTTGTATCCACAGGGACTGTTGTTGTATCCACAGGGACTGTTGTTGTATCCACTGGGACCGTTGTTGTATCCACAGGGACTGTTGTTGTATCCACAGGGACTGTTGTTGTATCCACTGGGACCGTTGTTGTATCCACAGGGACCGTTGTTGTATCCACAGGGACTGTTGTTGTATCAACCGGAACCGTTGTTGTATCAACTGGAACCGTTGTTGTGTCAACTGGAACCGTAGTTGTATCCACTGGGACCGTTGTTGTATCCACAGGGACTGTTGTTGTATCCACAGGGACTGTTGTTGTATCAACTGGGACCGTTGTTGTATCCACAGGGACTGTTGTTGTATCCACAGGGACCGTTGTTGTATCCACTGGGACCGTTGTTGTATCCACAGGGACTGTTGTTGTATCCACAGGGACTGTTGTTGTATCCACAGGGACTGTTGTTGTATCCACTGGAACCGTTGTTGTGTCAACTGGAACCGTAGTTGTATCCACTGGGACCGTTGTTGTATCCACAGGGACCGTTGTTGTATCCACAGGGACTGTTGTTGTATCCACAGGGACTGTTGTTGTATCAACCGGAACCGTTGTTGTATCAACTGGAACCGTTGTTGTGTCAACTGGAACCGTAGTTGTATCCACTGGGACCGTTGTTGTATCCACAGGGACTGTTGTTGTATCTACAGGGACTGTTGTTGTATCAACTGGGACCGTTGTTGTATCCACAGGGACTGTTGTTGTATCCACAGGGACCGTTGTTGTATCCACAGGGACCGTTGTTGTATCCACAGGGACTGTTGTTGTATCCACAGGGACTGTTGTTGTATCCACAGGGACTGTTGTTGTATCCACTGGGACCGTTGTTGTATCCACAGGGACTGTTGTTGTATCCACAGGGACCGTTGTTGTATCCACTGGGACCGTTGTTGTATCCACAGGGACCGTTGTTGTATCCACAGGGACTGTTGTTGTATCAACTGGAACCGTAGTAGTATCCACTGGGACTGTTGTTGTATCCACTGGGACCGTTGTTGTATCCACTGGAACCGTAGTTGTATCCACTGGGACCGTTGTTGTATCCACAGGGACTGTTGTTGTATCCACTGGGACCGTTGTTGTATCCACTGGGACCGTTGTTGTATCAACTGGAACCGTAGTTGTATCCACAGGGACTGTTGTTGTATCCACAGGGACTGTTGTTGTATCTACAGGGACTGTTGTTGTATCAACTGGGACCGCTGTTGTATCCACAGGGACTGTTGTTGTATCCACAGGGACCGTTGTTGTATCCACAGGGACCGTTGTTGTATCCACTGGGACCGTTGTTGTATCCACAGGGACCGTTGTTGTATCCACAGGGACTGTTGTTGTATCCACTGGGACCGTTGTTGTATCCACTGGGACCGTTGTTGTATCCACTGGGACCGTTGTTGTATCCACAGGGACCGTTGTTGTATCCACAGGGACTGTTGTTGTATCCACAGGGACTGTTGTTGTATCAACCGGAACCGTTGTTGTATCAACTGGAACCGTTGTTGTGTCAACTGGAACCGTAGTTGTATCCACTGGGACCGTTGTTGTATCCACAGGGACTGTTGTTGTATCCACTGGGACCGTTGTTGTATCCACTGGGACCGTTGTTGTATCAACTGGAACCGTAGTTGTATCCACTGGGACCGTTGTTGTATCCACAGGGACTGTTGTTGTATCCACAGGGACTGTTGTTGTATCAACCGGAACCGTTGTTGTATCAACTGGAACCGTTGTTGTGTCAACTGGAACCGTAGTTGTATCCACTGGGACCGTTGTTGTATCCACAGGGACTGTTGTTGTATCTACAGGGACTGTTGTTGTATCAACTGGGACCGTTGTTGTATCCACAGGGACTGTTGTTGTATCCACAGGGACCGTTGTTGTATCCACAGGGACCGTTGTTGTATCCACAGGGACTGTTGTTGTATCAACTGGAACCGTAGTAGTATCCACTGGGACTGTTGTTGTATCCACTGGGACCGTTGTTGTATCCACAGGGACCGTTGTTGTATCCACAGGGACTGTTGTTGTATCCACTGGGACCGTTGTTGTATCCACAGGGACCGTTGTTGTATCCACAGGGACTGTTGTTGTATCCACAGGGACTGTTGTTGTATCAACCGGAACCGTTGTTGTATCAACTGGAACCGTAGTTGTATCCACTGGGACCGTTGTTGTATCCACAGGGACTGTTGTTGTATCCACTGGGACCGTTGTTGTATCCACTGGGACCGTTGTTGTATCAACTGGAACCGTAGTTGTATCCACTGGGACCGTTGTTGTATCCACAGGGACCGTTGTTGTATCCACAGGGACTGTTGTTGTATCCACAGGGACTGTTGTTGTATCAACCGGAACCGTTGTAGTATCCACAGGGACCGTTGTTGTATCCACAGGGACTGTTGTTGTATCCACTGGGACCGTTGTTGTATCCACTGGGACCGTTGTTGTATCCACAGGGACCGTTGTTGTATCCACAGGGACTGTTGTTGTATCAATTGGAACAGTTGTTGGATCTAGACGTTTAACTCGTTTTAAGAATTTTTCACTTTGCACTTGCACGGGTTGATTTTGTGGTACTGATGCTGAAAAAAGAAAAGAAAATGTCCTTTAGGATTTTTGAAATAATTTTGATTTTTGAAATATAAAATTATGTCTTAAAGATTTTTTTAATAAATTTCACTGATTAGTCTTTAATTCGCTTGTTTTTTATTTCTCAGTGATGCTGAAAAGCACATAAATTATTTTCAAATTTAAAATCATGGCATGTTTTAGCTTACTAAACAAAAATAGTTTGATTCTATCATTTGCGTACGTTATTTCTTAAACAATTATGAAACTGAACTGAATTATTTTTTCTTTTTTAAAAAAATCCGCAGTGAATATTTTTTCAGTTCCTTCATGCTAAATCATTTGATTTTTGTGCGTGACGCTTTGTGTGCTATAAAATGGCCGTTTTTTGGGTTCTCAAATTTTCCCATTTTTATTATCAAAAAATCAAAAAAAAAGAAGGTTGAAAAAAAAAATCCAAAACTTTCAAAATTTTTTCACATTTTTTCACCTTTTTCACTTCCAAACTTAATAAAGCTCCACTGGAATGCACAGATGTCAATGACCACAAGGGCCATAATAAGCACAAAAATCATTAAAATCTTCATCACTTGATTCACTTTAAGCTGTTGCACACTCGAATTTTAAAACGCGACTAATGCCGTATTCAATTTTGCATCCCAAATTTATACGAAAATGGCACTGCAAGAACTGCATGTAAATGCATTAGGACCACAAGATTTATGAGCTCTTCTTCTTGCATATCCAGTTCTTGACACTCAACAAATGATTCTGTGCGAATTTTTTTCGTGTGTACACATTCGCCGAATGGACGTCAAAAGGAGATGAGAAGAATTTGAAGCATGCAGGAGGTGTAGCACGTGTATTGAGGTATGATATAAGGAAATGAAAATGCCGGTATAACTTACCTATGGTAACATAAAGGATCGTGCGACATTCAGATATTCAATTTTATTTTGAAAGTTGTTGAGTCACATTTTTTATGTTCATGAATGAATTTTGGGATCTTTTTGCATATTTGATGCTGTTTTTTCATCTGTTGGTGTATTTGTTGGTGTTTTTTTTCGGGAATGCCGTTGGGCTTTTTTTTAGATAACTCGTGTTTGAGATCAAAACATATAACACATGATTTGTGTTTCACGTGAGCCTAGGATTGAAGTTTTTAATTTTATAAACCAGAGATCGAAGCCACCGACTTTTAAGCCGGCTTATAAAAACAGAATAAACCTTGGACAAGAAGAAGATGATGGAATTAGGAGATGCATTCCTTTTTAGTAACTCATCTGTTATTTTTTAGCACCACACTTGATTCCACTATTGTCACTCCAAGAATTTATTTTCCTGGAACATGAAGGCTCCGCGGAGTAAAGTTTAATAATAATAACAATAATAATAATAGTTTGAGAAATTATTGTTTTAGCTCAGTGAATTCCAAACTTAGTGTCGCGACACACTAGTGTGTGGCACAAAAATTATAAAAACTCACAAACCTTATGCTGTGTCCGGTTATGGAAGAAATGGTTTAGCTCGACATGCTTTGGCTTCCGTACAGCAAGACAAGCATCTCACCAGCTTATCAAAGTGTTTCAAACCAGCAAAAGTATTTTGATATAGAAAAGGCATGTGACAGAGTTTGGTCTTCACCGGCTCATTATTGACGAAGCCAAAAAAAAAATCGAGGAAGGATTTTGAATATCTTTTGCTTAAAAACTACATTTCCATATGTAAAAATTACACTTCGATGTGTAAGAATACATTGTGATGTGTAAAATAATTGAAACATAAAATGCTTAACTTCAAATTTAAATTCCAATACTTTTAACCTCTATACAACATCTAATCCATTCAGCTGCACCGCCAAACCAGTAAAATAAATCACATCAATTTTAAATAACCAAAACAATATCCAAAAGTCACAGACTCTAGCGCCATCTTTTGGCAAATTGACAATTCCTGACATATCTCCATTGATCATCTGTTGGTACAATTAAGGGGCGTTCAACTACACATTATTATTGTTTACATAAAAATTACTAAATATTTTTGGTAACATTTTTCTAATTTTCTGCAGGTAGTTGTCAATAAAAACAAATAAATTGTTGTTAAAAATCTTCAAAACCTGGCAAATTATCGAACTAAATTGAAGTATTGATGAGAAAGTATCGGAAAAAGTGGAAATATTAAGGTAAATAAAAGTTGTTAATTATTTTAAGATAATTGTTGATAAATTGAATTAAAAGAGATATAAAAGTTAACAGTAAGCATATTTGGACAGTACTGTATGCACCGATTAAAGTTGTACAACCTTTAGCTGATCCCGGAGATTAAATAGTTAAAATAATTCAAATTAAAAATTTTCAAAGTCAAATTTTAGGAGTGCATCCAGGATACAAGGAATGCTAAAATGACAGTGCTAAGATTTTCTGTTCCCGATCTTTAATTTTTGAAAAATATTTAAGATTTTTTGAAAATATTTATAATTAAATTTTAATGAGTTTTAATTTTAATGTATTGATAGGTTTGGATAACAGGACCTTCTAATATGTCACTTAATTTTTTTTTATTGTATCTTATCATGGATCAGGACTTTACTTGTATCATACCTTAGCTTTATATACATAGTGGTTGATTCCAAAATTACCAAATTTACTCAGACCGGTTTCTTAAGATGCCAGGTTCACCCCTCCTGTATAAAATTAACTTTACTCTACAACTTTGACTAGTATCGAAAGGATATACCATTGAGTAGAGTAGGGAGGGCTTGGTTTTAGTGCAGCATCAATCATTTTTGTTGTTATTTGGCTTATGAAGTTCAGAACTGTAAATATGTTACGGTACCATGAGTAAACTCACTTGTCTGTTAGGGCAGAGTATGCTTTCCAACTATGCGCCTGAGACTCTGCTTACAGAAAAATTTATCTCAGTATACTTATGCTTAACAATTTTTAAGCTAATTTTAATCTAATTCTCTTTTCATTCAATTAGATTGCCTGGCATCATTATGAGGCATTAATTTTCCAAAGCTGGCAAGAAATAAACAAAATTAAGCATCCAGCATCATTAGAATCTAAAGATAATTCAACAGTCTATAAAAAAAATCTCAAATAAACTGTGAAGCTGAAAAGAAGACAATGTCGGACACAGACTTACAGAACATAACTCCAACATATTTCAAAATTGAAGTCAAAGATGAGCCGGACGAGATAAATTTCATAAAATCCGAGTCAATTTCATTTGACGACAGCATTTCCCAATATATAGTTAGAGGTAGTTTTATCGATGATCAATTTGTCATTCCATCAACATCGCATGACTTTAGTATGTTGATTGAGGAGGTGAAGCATGAGCCGGAAGAGATTTTGCAAGACTTGATATTGCCTGAGGTGGAGGAGATTGAAGAGATTGAGGAGATTAGTGAGATACAAGAGATTGAGGCAGATAATGAAGGATTTGAGATAATTGAGGAGCAAGCGATTGCATATGAAGTCAAAAGGAATGCACAAGGTGAACTTGAGTGTCCAATATGCTTAGCAATCTTTAAAATTGGAGCAAATCTTGAGCGTCACATTCAAATTCATGATAAAAAGTTTGTCTTTAATCTGACAAAGACAAATGATGTCCAAACAAATTATACGGAAGCAGCAGCAACGACAGCCAAAGCAATGCTTCCATCCTATCCATGCGAATATTGTAATGAAGTGTTTGAGTATAAGAAGCAATTAAGAAAGCATTTAACAAGTGATCATAAGAATCGACGACGAGATATCAAGTGCCAGCTGTGTGTCTATTGTACTGACAATAAGCATCATTTTCGTGAGCATTTATTGCGACACCAAAAGTACGATCAACGACTTAACTCAAATCCTGAACTTGTCAAATGCATCAAATGTCCAGCACTACTTAAAAATGATAGAAGTCTTAAAATTCATGAGAAACATGTCCATTCATCAACTAAATTCCAATGTGAAGTCTGCGATAAATATTTTAAGACAAAACAAATCCTAAAAAATCATGTCAAAGTCATTCATTCCATCGGCGAATGAATCCAATTTATTCTTTAATACCCTTTTTTTAAATAATCATTTTACTTTCGCAAACCATGGAATTAAATTGAGTAATTTTTAAGGCAGAATCATAATTAATTATTAAGAGAAAATAATAATAAAAAAATAAATAAAAATTAAGATTTTATGAAGAAAATTATAAGAATTTTGGGCTGTTATTGTTACTGAACTAAATTATCGAGTTCTACATTACTAGATTGACTATTACAATCCCACAACATACTCACACCATTGTTTAATTCAAGAGCTAGTCACCAGCAAATTCCACTAGTTCGCAATTTCTATTCCAATTGTAACTTTTGTCAGAGAATGTTAGCTACAATGACTCAAATTCAAAGTGGCTAAGTGCTTCGTTAGCAAAACTGTGTCGCCAAAACTATCAGAATTCAAAGTTCAAATTTTATTGAGATACATCAAGTATTTTACTTAATTAGAAGTTTGTTGTGGTTTGAAAGCTTTGAGAAGTCCTGGTCTGACAGTTTTTTCTTCATCCCTGACAGTTTTCTGTTGACAAGACAAAATGTTCAAAATTGACGAGCTTGTAGCAACACATTTGGATTTGTCGATGTTGGTACTCAAACCCTAATGTACACCTTAAACCCTAGTATCCCTTAAATATGACCTGCAATTCAGCTAGACTGGCTAACTGCGCACTTTTCAGCACGACAATCTCACTTTTATTTTGAAGAATGTCAAGCCTAAAATCCTGAATTTCCTGACTTCTCTAGTCTCAATTAAATTTGAAATATAAAACAACAGCCACAATGAAGATTGCGATGAGTATTCAGTGGCTGAATTGAGAATTGCTGTTTGAAACCCATAATGTCTAGCACATCCCTGGAATCAACATAAGACCCCTCTGCATATCCTAGACGTAAACTATAATTTCTTCTAAAATTGAACATTTCATAATTCTATTGTCAATGTTTCGTCACTTCTGAGTTAATTCTAATTTATTTAAAATGCACAAATTGAGAGAAAATTGAGTAATTCTAAAGACAGTAGCCTTATTCATGTTATAACAAGCAGCAATCAAGCGATGCATCACTTACAAATTCAAGAGAGAGTTTAACAACAAAAAGTGCATTGAGATAAGATAAAGTCACACAATAAGAGAGAATTTTGACTCACATGTCAAAAGAAAGTCGAAAAAAGAATTTTTTTATCAGTCATTCATCGACATTAACATGCATTGAGTTCTTGAGCATTTTTGTACGTGACTCATTAATAAGTTTTAAGCAGTAAATTTGATAATGAAACGAATTATTGAACTTGGTGATAAGCAAACAGATGTTTTCATTTGAGCGAGAAATAATAATTATTAAAACACATGTTTGCTAGTTGTGAACGAGCTGTTGAGATGATCGGATAGTTATCAGATTAAAAGTTGAAGTGCTTGGAGTTGAACGTCATTTGATGCACTGTGCAAAAAGTGTTGGTTGAATAATTTTTGGTCACAATATTAATATTTTTGTGAAAATTCCTAAGATAATTCCTATTTAGACTAGATTATCATTTAAAAGTGACACAATTTTTAAAGAAATTGTTTAATAAGAAATTAAACTTGACCTTCAGTAAGCAGACGCGTGTTATATCATGGAATGTGAAATATTTTTCCTCTCAATTGTGTTATTTCTAATATTTGAGAGCATTTTTATATTGTTTAATAAGCTCCGAAGGCCAAGGGATTTTCCACCAGGTGAGTAATGTCAAAATTGAATGTAATTAATTTAACATAGGTTCTTGTGCTTAGTTTGATGCAATTTATTAAGGTGTTAACTGACTAAAGTGCTGAATTATGATTCTATAGTTGATTATGTATCAACAGTCGAAATTGAAGTGCCTCAAGCTTATAATATCGTAACTAGGTGCATTGACTCTCGACAATCTTCTCATGTTATTATCAATGGATAGGCGGTCCATCGGTTTTGGACGAGTTTTGGTCAGAAAGCGGGACATTTCCCGACTTCAGCTCTGAAAAAGCATGACAGTCCAAGTTTTCAAGCATTTTCCTTAAAAAAATAGATTCTTAAAAGCAGGATATTAAGGATTTTAGGCAAGATTTTTTTTAAAAAATCGAGGCTATTCAGCTCATAAGTTCACAGTTGAACAGCCTTTCAATTAATAGAGTTAAGTTCCATAGTTCTTTTGATTATCGCGCATTGAGCCGACTAATTATCGAATATCTACAAACAATTCCATATATTTCATTTTAATTAAATCGAAGCTTAAATGAGTCAAAAACAAGGCGTGAAAACTATCCCAAATATCATATTTATCCCACATATCCCAAAAATATTCAAAAAATTCCTGAGCATGTATGCATGATAATAAAGATATCCCAACGTATCCTTAGTGTATTGGACGTGTAATTTCAGGATATGATGTGATATCTCAATTCTAATGCATACAGGCTCAGGGACTATTTTGAATATTTTTGGGATATATGGGATAAATGAGATATTTCGGATAGTTTCCACGCCTTGGTCAAGAATATTTAATTTTTTAACCAAAACAAATCAACACCTTGTTTTATGTTTAATCGCATGTAAACGTCGTTCAAATATTGTGATTAATTGGTGTAAACTAATCAAAAGGTTATCTACTTTGAGACAAGCTTTTTGATATCTCATAATCATTTGTCACATCTGAGTACTTTTAGTTGTGATTATTAATAATTAAGGTGTTTTTGCTAGTAGAGTATTGAACCGAATTACTTATCTTAATCTTTAGATAATGGATTGACTTGATTTTAATTCCAATTGATTGAGTATGATGGAGCTTTAACCTTTAAAAAACCCCTCTGGTTCCGTCACGATTTAAGTAATACTGGTCCCTAACAGACAAATGAGTATACTCATGGTACCTGTTACATATTCAAGAGCATATTCTGAACATAGTCTTGAGTATTTTACGGTACCATGAGTACACTCACACGTTTTGACATATTTTCGTCTATTTTTTCCTATTTTACTTGGAATGATAGGATGTTTACAAAAGTTTACTGATAAATTTAATTAATTCTACCAAGAATTCCGTGGCCTCAATAAATCTAATTTAATCTAGTGAAGACACAATCCCACTTTCAATCGATCAAAATTGAAGTTTACTACTTTATATTAAAATTTGCACCATAAATCGTTCAATTAAATAAATAGTAAAAGCACGCTCTTGATTGTTATTGACCCTTGATTGCTGGATTGAGTTATAGACTTTTAATTTCTTGAAAGACTGACCCAATTATCAGATCAATGAGTTCTATTAACGAAGATCAAAATAATATAACAGCTTGGAATGATGAAGCTAAAGCTGCTTTTTCTGATTTTAAAAAAAAAAGGAGAAACCTTCCATCACCTAGTGATGTCGACAGTTCTCGTCATGTGAACAAGAAGTACAAGAATACTAATTTCAGCAATGTACATTTCAATAGCAGAATGAGTAACCGGCATCTACTGGTAGACAGAAATCGTGCATTATTTGCCGAGCATAATGACCCATTCGTCTCTGTTGATAATAATGTCAAAAGTTCCACGTTGTCTGAGAATTTTGTGAGCATGGATGTTAGTGAACTTGAATCTGACAAAACGGAAGTAGCATGCGATGAAATTAATAAGAATATTGCACAGTTGCGTGATATGATAGCCAAAAGAGAGGATCCTTATGCAATTCTAGACAAAATTGCTCAACAAATGGCGGATACACATAAAAATAATCAAGTTCAATTTAGCAAAGTAGCTGCGGACTGCGCCAGATATGCTACTCGTCAAAATGATCAATTAGTCGCACTGGAAAATCGGATCATGGCTGAAATCTCTAAGGTTCATCAACTAAGTGAAGATAGACTTAATGCAATTGAATTCTCACAGAAATGCTCAGCACAAAACAATATTGTTTGGCTTAGTTTTGCTGACTCCACTGAAATTGAGGCTCTCAGAATCAAAACTAAGTCTGAATTGATACGAGAGGCAGTGAAAATCCTCTCCAGGATGGATATCTGGAACAGCATGAATAACAGGACAATAGTTGATGCATTCACTCAAAAAGTATCAGTTAAAACAGGGAAAGGCTTTGAAAATGAAATGATTATGGGAATAAAATTCCTGAACTCATTTACAGCTCGTGATGTCAAGAGATTGGCAGCTCAATATGCAAAAAAGCAGTTTATGTCAAAGAATTTTGATGCTATTCGCTACATTGTCAGGGATAACTGGAGTGCTGAAGTTTGGAAAATACTCCGAGTTTGTTATGACCTCACACGTATTAAATTAATAGATAGAGCTCTAGTTAGTGACGCAGGTATACAGGTATATTACAAAAAAAAAGTGACTGATCAAAATGGAATCGAAGAAGAAAAAAACTTAAGAGCTCTGATTAGATTGGAATCTGATTTGGATGAACTAAGAGTCGATGTAAATGATGTTGGTCTTGCTATTCCAACATTTCAAATCTACAATGGTGATTACTTCAAGATGAACTTTGATGCGAGAAGTAGCTATAGAATGTCCATTGATGGATCAAATAATGCCAACAGCATCGAACCTCAAGTACAAACAGCGGCCACAACGTCAGATTGCTGACAATCAACAATGTCCACTCACAAAACTCAGCGTCTCATTTCAAATAAATCTCTCAACAACAGCAACCGGAATACCAATGTAAGCAATCATCCCACTAATGAGGAAATTAATAAATCAATTTTAGAAAATTATGCCATAAATTTTTTCAATGATACTCATAAGGAGTTATCGAAAACAAACCTCTCTCACCTTCAAATAAATAAAGTAATTGGAGATTGTATTGAGTTTAATCCGAGCAGCAATCCTCTCTTAAATATGCTTACATGGAATGTTCGTTGTTTAACGCATACTAAATTGAATGTCATCAGGCACTATCTTGATGAGTGGACCAAATTATCGATTGCAAAAAATGAGAATCAAATTAACTGTAATGGCGAAAGTAAGAAATATTTTATAGACATAATTGGATTAACGGAAACATGGTTACAAGAAGACACAAAATTTAATACCTTTGGCATAAAAAATTTTAACGCAATTCACGCAAATAGGAAACAAGGAAAGAAAGGTGGCGGCCTGGTATTGTATGTGCATAAAAAATATCAGACAGTCGTAATTGAAAGCGCAATTAATGATGATATAGAATACATATTATTGAAACTTTTTACATCAACTGATGAGTACTATGTTATGCTTGTTTATCGCCCAAATGGCTGCGTGAACGCATTTGTAAATAAGCTAGAAGAGCTCACATTAAGAACCAATAGAGAAAAACTAATTTTAGCAGGAGACATGAACTTGAATACACTTAATGATAATGATAATCGAATTAAAACTTATTTGGATACTCTTACATCACTAAATCTCACAATTGTCAACGCCGCAGTCACTAGAAACAGTCTCTTTGGATCTGATGGTTCCTTAATTGATCATCTTATTGTTAGTTCATCACATAATAATACCTTTGCACTGACATCGAAAAGAGTACAAATTGTGTCTGATCATAATTATCTACTATCAACAATTCAGCTCGATGCCATATCTCCTAAAAAGAGAACTAATGTCAAGAAAGTTAATGTTAATTATGATTTATTACCGCTGAAACTTCAACAAAACTTATCTAGTCAGGAATTTAATCACGATGATGTCAACTTGTATTTTGATGCTGTTCACGATATGCTATTAAAAACTCTTGAAGACTGTTCAAGCACCCTCAATGTCAAATTTCCATCACATATTCGCTCTCTACCGGACTGGGCTGATAAGAGATATAAAGATATGCTACGGACTCTTCATAATCTGGAAGAAAAAATTGAGAAAAGGAAAAAAATGAGTCTTCCACGAAATAACTTAGTGAGTAAATATACTGAATTATGTAATATCTTTGAGCAATATGGTAACGCAAAGGCAAAACTATTCTATCGAAAATTGCAATTAAAAAACGTCAATCATGCATGGAAGATAATTAATGATCTGACAGGGAGATCAAAAAAAAATAAAACATTTATTTTAAGGGACAGCAATAACAATTATGTAACGGAACCGGTTGAAATTGCCAATGCATTCCAAAAGAAATTTATGGATATTAATAATTCACAATCCACCTCAATTGAGCCTCACAGATATATGGGAAAATTAATCAAGGACACTTTCTGTTTTGAGGAAGTAACTCAGGACTTAATCGAATATCACATTGCGATACTCAATGAGAACAAATCGTGTGGATATGATGGAATTAATGCCAAAGTCATTAAATGCTGCATTGATGAATTATCACCACATCTATCTAATATATTCAATCTAATGGTCAGGACAGGCAGTTATCCGGACAGACTAAAGCAATCAACAATAATCCCAATACATAAAGGTGGTGACTCACTAGAATGTGGCAATTATAGGCCAATCAGTCTTCTCCCACAACTGGACAAGATTTTTGAAGCCATTATATATAATCAATTAAGTAAATATCTTGAGACTCACAATATACTAGATCCACTACAATATGGATTTAGACAAGGTCGTGGATGTAATGAGGCTATTGGGATGATGCTAAATCATACCAGTAAAATAGTGGAGACCGGAAAAAGTGCATTAATAATATCTCTTGATATCTCCAAAGCTTTTGACTCTGTAGATCATCGGATTCTTTTACGTAAACTCAATTTTTTGGGTATTAGAGGTCTCGCATATGATGTATTAAGTAGCTTCTTAAGGAATAGGAAACAGATTGTGAAATTTAATCAGGAATTTAGTTCACCAAACAGTGTCGAGCTTGGAGTTCCTCAAGGTTCAAACCTTGGACCATTACTATTCAACTTAATGATTAATGATATCAGTGCCCTCAAAATGAACTCGAAGCTAATTAAATATGCTGATGACATAATTATGATTCTTACACTTGACAAGATAACGCCTCAACTCAATATAAATAACTTGCAATCTGATATTAGCACAATAATGAATTATTATGACACGAACTTATTAAAAGTGAATTTAGCTAAATCCAAATACATGCTAATAGGAAATAGAGCACATGAAGAACTGGATAAAATACTCACGGATAATCAAATTGTGAAATGTACTGAACTAACTTATCTTGGAATAATAATTGATGCTGAATTAAAATTTGTTAGTCATGTCAACAAGATCTCTAAATCAATTGGGTCAGCTGTAAATGCCCTTCGTTATCTAAAGACAGTCCTATCACAAGATGCACTGTTAAAGTTCTTTCACGCCCATATACAGTCTCATATCAACTTCGCTGGATTCACTCTTTTGCGCTGCAGATCAATAGACATTGAGAGACTTCAAAGGCTGCAAAATAAGGCATTGAAAATTATCTTTGGACTACATGACATGCACTCAACAACTGAGCTATTTAAAAAGGAAGCAAAATATATCTTACCTGTTGCGGGATTAATTTATTATTCGGCTATTATCATGACAAAAAAGTGCGTCATTTCCTTTGATGGTTCCTTGCCAAGGATTAATAGGCTTAGAAGCCTAAGGAAGAATGATCTGATGCTAGTCTCTGCTAAAAAGAAGGTATTAATAAATGATTTGACTCACGCTGGATGTAAACTACTTAATCAACTACCGAATGAAATTAAAGCTACAAATGTCCTATTTATCTTTAAGAAGGATGTAAGACAATTCCTACTAACTCGAAATGAATCGCTTGTGAAATCTGGTCAGTTCTGTTCGAGGAGCTTCTTTATTTAATCACTCATTAATCACTAAATGTCAGTTATTAATTATTATTAATATATTTTGTTTGTTTACAAACAAATGCAAGTCTACAAAATTAATTGTCTACATGCACAGTTTAATGCCCTGTTGGGTAGATTTAACCAAACATTTAGTCACTTTTGTCTAATAACGAAGCAATTTGGGAACAAAATTTAATAATTAATTATCGCGTAGTCGTAAAGAGATGTCGTTTAATGAGGAAGAAGTTCTTCTCCTTTGTGAAAGTGATAATGAATTTAATGAGGAATTAGACGACTCCAAGCACTTGAACTCAGAAACCTTAATACTCAAATTCATTACAAAAAGTGCAAATAAGATTAATTCATTCACATCGGCAATACATAAACTGCTTACGGATAATAAAGTGCAAATTAAAGGCTTATACTCAAAAGGTGAGCAAACGCTTCTTATCGAAGTCCTGTTAACCACCTTTCTCGAAAGGTGGTTACATGAACTGGTCGGAGAGCGTAATAATGCTTGTACGTTGAGTGATAAGGTTAAAAATGACATAATGAAGAATGTATTTGGTAAATTCAACCTGATCTTATTGAATGAATTAGTGAATTTGATTGTTGTGCCTAGTATCGAAGAAAGACTAATGAAGTGCAAGTCGTCTTTTTATCCATTTGGCCTCTGTAATGGAAATTTCTATAATTTGAAAGCAAACTGCTTAAAGGAGCCTCCTGAGTTAATCATAAAGAAGATCATACTTGAATTAACTAAAGATGATAAATTTCTGAATATCTTTGGTATACGAATTGAGTGCTCAGCCTTGTATGAATATTCACTTAGGCTTATTATAAATAGGCAGATCATCAACAACAACCTCGTTAAATCATTGTGTGAAAAATTTGGTCTCTTATCTTTTTGCCCATCAACTCTACATCTCATTCCTAGCATCCAGATCAGTAAATTCACAAAAATTATGAATGACTCGTATGAGGCGAGACAGCTTTGGTCAGAGTTTTGTGAAATTGATGTTTTACTATGTAGCTCTAATGAGCAAGCATTAGCAATGAAGAGAATGAATCCAAAGAAAAACCCTAAGAAGGTACAGCCTAAACCAATTGTTCGTAATAATCTCACTGTCACATCATCATCAGATAATACCAAATCCATATTTGAAAGACTGGGTCCCAGAATTAGCGCTCATCCTTCACATATTTCATTCGAATCGCACCTCTCTTCTAGAAAGTACGATAATCTTCAAATAACTGCATGTTTCAGAACCTCATCAACATCGAAAGTATCAAAATATAAGTCTTTGCATTGAAGCTAATCTGAAATCTTCTTAATTCTTAAGCATTTTCCCAACTATAAAGCAATACTTACAGTGCAACTTGTTATGAATTAGTGGATGTATGAAATAATTAATACTAGATTATTATGGTTTTTTCTTTCTCCTTTTCTTCTTTTTTACCCGTTTGGGCTTTTTTCTTCTTTTTATTGTGTTTTTTTTGTATTATGTATTATTACTTAAGAGTCACACTGTACTTATTTAAACAACCGTTTATGGTTTTCAATAAATTGAAATTGAAATTGAAATTGAAAAAACCCCTCTGGTTCCGTCACGATTTAAGTAATACTGGTCCCTAACAGACAAATGAGTATACTCATGGTACCTGTTACATATTCAAGAGCATATTCTGAACATAGTCTTGAGTATTTTACGGTACCATGAGTACACTCACACGTTTTGACATATTTTCGTCTATTTTAGGTCCACGATGGTTTATTCCATTTATTGGAAATACTCGATATTTAAGAAAACTAGCCAAAAAGTATGGAGGTCAACATAAAGCCTTTGAAGTGCTTGCCAAAGAGTTCAACTCACCAATATTTAGTCTTAAACTAGGCAGAGAATATGTAGTTGTGGCAATGACTTATCCAATTGTAAAGGAGATTTACTCAAGGGAAGAATATGAAGGAAGGTAATGCATCGTTCATAACTTCAATCTATAAACAATTCATCAGTTTCGGCTTAATTCTACATCATTTATTTTCTATTTCCAGACCAGATAACTTCTTCCTTCGACTACGAACAATGGGAACAAGAATGGGTATAACATGCACTGATGAGAAGTTCTGGAGTGAACAGCGCAGTTTTGTAGTTCGACAGTTGCGAAACACTGGATATGGAAAATCAATCATGCAGGAACGAATCAATGACGAAATGAATGAAATTTTAGATATTTTACGAAAGAGTAATGAAGAACCTGTGTGGCCAGGTGGAAGTAATCTTTTAGCAACAAGTGTCATTAATATTTTATGGACATTCACGACAGGCACAAAAATTGATAGAAATGATGAACGTTTAGTGAAATTCTTTGACTTGCTGCAAAAGCGATCAAAAGCATTCGACATGAGTGGTGGATTATTGACTCAAATGCCATGGCTGAGATTTATTGCACCAGAAGCAACTGGATATAATTTGATTAAGAACTTGAACACAAAATTTTATGCATTTTTCATGGAATTTGTTGAGGAACATTTGAAGGATTACAGCGATGAAAAGTGCAATGACGATCTTATTTATGCATTCCTTAAAGAAATGAAGGAACGAGATGGACAAGCTAATTCAACATTCACAATTAAGCAGTTGATCATGGTGATCCTTGATATTTTCATTGGCGGTTCACAAACAACAAGCACAGCAATTGATTTAGCATTAATGACAATGGTTATGTACCCGGATGTTCAAAGAAAGTGTCATGAGGAGATTGAAAAAGTTGTCAATGCTGATGGAGTACTTCCATCGTATGTAGACAGACAGAAGACGCCGTACATTGATGCTGTAATACTTGAAGTTATGAGATTTTACTGCGTTGCACCAATAACTGGTATGTAGAATAAAAACATTGAGAATGTTCATGATTCGGATCTGATTAATAGAGTATTGATAAATTTTTTCCAATTCTATATCCTTTAAGGTCCGCGTCGAACTCTCAAAGACTGTAAACTAGACAACTACATAATCCCAAAGAATACAACAATCCTCATAGGACTCGCAAGTGCGTTAAACGATGAAACTATTTGGAATGAACCAAGAATATTCAATCCAGAGAGATTTTTGGACGACAACATGAAGGTCATCAACACAGACAATTTCATTCCATTTGGAACAGGACGTAGGAGATGTTTAGGTGATCAGTTGGCCAAGGAATGCATTTATAAATTTTTCGTTGGAGTTTTGAGTGAATTTTCATTGTTTAAAAGTGATAATAAGGAGGATATGCCTAGTTTGGATCTATTGCCAGGCATACTGTTGAGTCCTAAGCCTTATAAGATTATTTTTAAGAGAAAACAGCCAAAAATTTAGTTTAATATCAAATTTTTATGTAAATTAACCGCCAAACATTGATTAAAAATGCTCAAAAAATTTACAATTTTGATTTTCCATTTTTTTCAATAACTTTCTTAACAACGACATGTGCTTCATCATAGAATGGATTCGTCGCATCCCTTACTCGATCATACCAACTCCTCAGACGTGGTCTTCCATCAAATGGATCATACCAAGCCATTTTAGGCTGCTCCAATTCACATGCTGCCAAAATGTCTGCGAATGAAATTTCCTCACTTGCCAAAAATTTCCTGTCAGCACTTTCAAGCCACACATTTTCAAGATTATTGAGTGACTGTTCCATTAGCTTTTTGTATGCTGCAGCCTTCTTCTCATCAATAGGATTTCCTGAGAGTCTTGGAATGAGCCATTTCGTTTGAAAGTACATGGCACATGGAAGTCGAATGGAATTGTGTTGATATTCAAGATATTCATCAACTAAGGCACGGGCTTTTATGTCTTTTGGATACCAATTTTCAGGAACGTCATTTAGGGATGTTATGTATCTGTTATTGGAGGATAAAATGGATTTAGATTGATATGGATTGGTACATAGTTGGGTTTGTTTGGATATACTTTATCCATAGATATATAAAAGTTGTCTGAGCCTTGACCATACCAATAATATAATTAGATAAACTATAAGAGGAACTTAGCTCTAACCTACAGACTTCTTATCTACAGTCCTCATATCCACCTATCCCAATAATGTTCAATAACCAAACCTACCTAAATATAGCAACACTCTCCGATAACTTAAATCCATCAGCATCAACAATGCAAGGTACTTTTTGGAATCTATTAATCTCCTTAAACTTGTCAGTCAAATGCTCAGCTTTGCCCAAATCCACTTTAATGAACTCTGCTGGAACTTTTGTCATCTTTAGGAATATCCATAGTGCTCTGGATGGCTGTGACAGCAGGTCAAAGTAATATTTCATCATTTTTGTGAAGTTAAAATCCAATGAACTTTGATCAGCACAGATTTGTCGGTGTTTATGTTGATAAATAATTGATTTTGTAGTTTTTTTGTTGGAAGTGATTCATCAACATTGGATTCAAAAAATTTCGTAACGGTCTTGAAAAATTCAAATGACTTTTTGGTGTCAAAACTTTCTAATTTTGCATTTCTTTGTATTTATTTTCGTGATAAGTCATCAACAACTTTAGTTTATAATTAAATTTGCAATAAGTTAAAAATGAAGCTATTAAGCTTCTTAGTGTCAATTCTAGGATTGTTGGCAGTCTGTAAAGCCACAACTTACGAATACAATATCAAAACCTTCAATGTCCTGTTAGATCATTTCACATTTGCTGATAATGCAACATTTCCGATTCGTTATCTCATGAACGACTCATATGTGACAGACAAAAGATCACCAATTATGTTCTACACTGGAAATGAGGGTGATATTGAGCTATTTGCACAAAATACAGGCTTCGTTTGGAAAGCCGGCATTCAATTGAAAGCAATGATTGTGTTTGCTGAGCATCGGTATTATGGCAAGTCACTGCCATTTGGAAATGAGTCATATAAAGATCCACAGCATCTCGGATACTTGACTAGTGAACAAGCACTTGCAGACTTTGCAGATTTACTAGAACACCTTAATCCAGACAGACTTAGACCTGTGATTTGCTTTGGTGGGAGTTACGGTGGAATGTTATCAGCGTGGATGAGGATGAAGTATCCACATTTAGTAGTCGGAGCATTAGCATCATCAGCTCCAGTTAGACAATTTACAGATGTTGTTCCTTGTGACATTTTCAATCGAATCCTTACAAGTGTCTTTCGTGTTGCCATCGAAAACTCGCCGTGTGTTGACAATATTAAGAAGCTATGGCCTGTCCTGAAGAACTTCTCATCCACTGAAGAAGGCAGAAAGTATCTAAGCAATGAATTTAAATTTTGTAAACCTTACAACAAGACTGAGGATTATGACACATTTTATGCCTACTTAATGGATGTTTTTGGAAACTTGGCAATGGCAAATTATCCGTACGAAGCTAACTTCCTTGCACCACTTCCTGCATTTCCTGTAAGACAATTCTGTGGACAACTTGATAAGAACTTTGATAAAAATGAGGAACTGCTGACTGCCTTCAATAATGCACTTCAAGTTTACTCAAATTATACTCAAAAGACAAAGTGCCTTGACATCTCGTCAGCATATGATGAGTCAATGGGATCACTCGGATGGGATTTCCAGGCATGCACTGAAATGGTGATGCCTATGTGCACTACTGGATCTACTGACATGTTTGTCCCTAAGAAATGGGATTTTGCAGAATACTCAACAGATTGCTTCAAGAAATTCAAGGTTTATCCTCGTGAACGTGCTGCAATATGTCAATATGGTGCTTTTAAGTTCGACATGCTGTCTAATGTCATCTTTTCGAATGGATTATTGGGTAAGTGACTTGTGGAATCTAATGTTTCTTATTTTATCATAATCTCTTATATTTTCTGTAGATCCCTGGTCAGGTGGTGGTGTGTTGAGGACTCAGAGTGATGCTGTTACTGTTGTGATCTTGCCGGAAGGTGCTCATCATCTTGATTTACGTGAGGATAATAAGGCTGATCCAGCAAGTATCAAAGCAACAAGAACTTATTATTTGAAGACGTTCCGCGAGTGGGTTGATACTTATAATAATTGAATAGTTTAAATCAGTGCTTCTCAAACTATAGTCCATGATCAATAGTGTGTTTTGAAATCAGAGCGAATTTGAAGATATAAGCTTTGAAAAGTTTGGAAACCACTGCGATGAATGATGACTTAGTAATATAATTATCGAACTGAATATTTCCTTTAAGAGGAACTCTTTGAATATCAGGTCTGAAAGTTCTTAGTTTTTTAAAATTCTAAATCCAAAACATCAGTGTCAAATATACTCCTTGTGCAAGCAGTTTTGACTTTACTTTAGACAGATTTTCCTCATGTAATGTCATGGCACAGACAACAACACCTTTTATTACTTTACTCGTTATTTTTTAAAATCGGTTAATAAAATGTGACAAAAATATGAACAAAATTAAACACATTGTGATTTCCTGATTTACTTAATATCCTAAAAAAATGAACAATTTTAAAAATCAAATTAATTTCCAATAAATAAACATGTTTTAAATTTACAAATATGTTTTTGTTTTTTTAAATGACCGAACACAGTCATGTTACCGTCTACCCAATTCTGAGATAAAGCTTCATATTCTTAGTAAGAATTTCTTACATTAAAATAATTATATTAGTAGTTTTCAAACTATGCTCCCGTGAGAACCATTCTCGCTATAAAATCCAAGGTATGTATGTCTGCACTGGAAGCTACAGTGTATTAGGAAGATGAATTAGAATCCACAGTTCACGGCAGGCGCGTAGCCAGAGGAAGCGTCATCAGAAACTTCTTCATTTCGCTAGGGTTTTTATGAAAAATTCGTAAAAATCCATACAAAACTTTGTGTTGTCATTCTCACTTCAAATACCTGGCTATGCCCCTACTTCACGGCCAAAACAGTTAGAGAATCACTGGTTTACCGAGTGTCGCCTGTGGTTTATTAACCAAAATCCATATAAAAACATTCCTGACTTTAAAAAAAAAATCAAAAAAAAAAATAAATATAATCATGCCATGCTTAACAAACCTTCCAAACTAGTATTATTATACTATTGACCATTTATAGATTCGATGCGTAGCTTAAGCATGACCACAAATCAACTTTTATTTCCTATATATGCAATGCCAACCACAATTTTTACCGGTCAATCACACGAGGCCTTTACAAGGACACATTCGCTGTCATAGAAAAAAAAAAGATAGAGTCGTGATTTAGTTAAAATAAATGAAAAAAGAAAGACTTAAAAATAAAATCGTGATAAAAATTGATGTAAAAAAATTAATTTAAGTTGGTTGGTGAAGGAATTTAGGTTTTTTATTTTAGTTCAGGTTTAGAGTAGACTATCAGTGATTCACTTAGATTTTAAAAGTTACAAAAAATCGTTGTTTAAATTCACAAAATGCATCAAAATTAGTTCATAAATTTAAACAGCTGAGCAGCCATCCAAATCCCAAAATGAACTCATTTTCATTAATATTAATAATTTTGAGTATCATATTCCTAGCACAGACCAACAATTGCTTCAAGCCAATAGCTAATCTTGCAGTTGATGAGGCATCTCGACTGAATATGACAATCTATATCGAAAGTCTTTGCAAATTCTCGAAAGAATTAATTCAACAGCAGCTAAAGCCAATTTATGATGAAATTAAAGAAAAGATTAATATTAAGTTTGTCACATTTGCATTAATGGAGGTAAAAATTCTGATTTTTGGGGATTTAGAGCTCTAAAAAAATTTGTTAAATTTTAGGATCATTTGAATGAGGATGAAACTATAAAGTTTAAATGCATGCATGGACCACATGAAGTAAGCCAATTTTACAAATGTTAAATTTGAATTTTTTTAAATTTTTATTTTTTTTTTATTTTTCAACATTTTGAATTTTTTCATTTTTTTTAAATACTTTTTTAAATTATTTTAAAAACCTTTACGCCAATATTTTGATTTTTAACAAATAAATCTTTCTACAGTGCGAACTTGATCTCTTCCAAACGTGCTCTCTTCACGTGTACAGACACAACCAAACAAAACAAGCGGAAATAATTTTCTGTACAATGAAATTCCATCACAATCACACGCTTTGTATTGATGAACTTCAACTTAATCTTTCGGAAATTGAAAAATGTGCGAATGGAACTTTGGGTGTATATTTGGCTCTAAATTCACAGCGTGAAGCTTCAGCTGTTGTTGGTACTTTAGGCGGTGTGCCTGCTGTGATTTTCAATAATATTATTGATCCTGTGGTTGCTGAACATTCATTGAGTGATTTAAAGGCTGTCACCAAACGGAGGATGTACCTGTATTATAGTCATTTTGATAACTCTAGTGAAATTTATACAGAATAAGGAATAAAAATGAGATACTTTACTTTTTTTTCTATCTTTCGACTCTACTTACATAAACCTACCCAAAAACATAAAAGTGTGTCTAATCGCAGCCAATACGTAGCCATAATTAATATTCATTCTACCATGTCAGCTATGTAGATAGAGAATGTTTCAAGTTCATCCAAAAAGATTCGTATGAAATTTGTTTACAAAGTAATCATATGCCTGCATGTAGATAATCTTATTCTTCACAGACACAAAAAATTTGTTCTTTATGACCCAAAAACATTCAGTCATTAAGTTTTGTTTACTGTATTAAGACCAAATACAACGCGAGGCTAGTCAAATAAATTAGAATTCTTTAAATTATGAACTTAATTGTTTTAGTGACTATTGTTCAACTTATTGGATCTGTTTGCTGTTTTATTTTATATCCATTTATTGCCGACGACTTTTTGGGTGAGCATTTATTTTAGAATTTAAGGATTGAAATTAAATTTGACTTTGAAAAGCTGTAGAATTCAACCGAAACATCCACGAAAGACCTTGAAAACCATTTAATTTCCAATCATTGACATTAAAAAACAGATCTCAATAACAGCATTCATCTTTAATTCTAGCAAAATTCATCAATTCTCTCAGCATCAATTCTAACAAGTTCAATGTTAATTTAATAAACAATTCAGTTCCTGGTGAACAATGCAATCGCGAATGTCACTCAAATGACACGAAAATTTGTCATTTTAAGTTCACTCTCGAGTTTTATCAAATTCTTGGTGGTGCATGCAATAGCTGCCTAAAATCAAATCACAGTGACTGTTTTAATCAACAATGCATAGTCGGTGATGGCATAGAACGAACATTTATGTCAATAAATCGACAGCTGCCGGGTCCAGATATTCAAGTCTGTAAAAATGACATTGTAATTGTAGACATAGACAATGAAATGGAAGGAACAGCAACAACTATTCATTGGCATGGTCTTTTACAATACGACACTCCATACAGTGATGGTGTTCCTTTCATTACACAGTGTCCGGTGGCATTTGCAACGAAATTTCGATACATTTTTTATGCTGGAAATAAAGGAACGCATTTGTATCATTCACATGCAGGTCAACACAAATCTAATGGGATTTATGGAGCTTTGATTGTAAGGGAAGAGGTGAAAAAGGATGCAGAGAAGCTGTTTGATTACGATTTACCCGATTTTTATATATTGTGCAGCGATTGGATGCATGTGAGACAATAATGAGGTTTTAGTTAAGTTTCTTGATTCAAGTAAGCCTCACTTGAGTCAAGTAGGTTTATTTTAAGTCAAATTAAGATTACTTGAGTCAAGCATGGCTCACTTGAGTCAAGCAAGGCTCACTTGAGTCAAGCAAGGCTCACTTGAGTCAAGCAAGGCTCACTTCAAGTAAAGCTTACTTGAATCAAGTAAAGCCATGTTGATGTATGTAAAGCTCACTTGAATCAAGTAAGTTTCTTATGACTCTACGAAGGCTCTCTTTGATCGAGAGTATTTTTGCTTAGTTCAAACAAAGTTCCATTGAGTCCAAAATGATCAAAATAAATGAAAATCAAAACTCATTTTTAGATCAACGCGGAAGAATTCTTTCCCGGTTTACCATCAAAAATTTCGCTTTTTGACAGCATTCTAATCAACGGACATGGACGATATCTGAATGTAGGTCACGCAATTTTAAAAAATAGAATTTCATTATCATCACAAGCTGCTTCATATCTCCCAAAAAATAGAAAACAACTCAAGCACGCATAAACACACCAATAACAATTTATACAGTCGAGAGACACAAACGTTATCTATTTCGACTCATTAATGCTGCATCTAATGTCTGTCCATTTCAATTACAAATCGAGAAGCACAACATTACGATTATCGCAACTGATGGAAGTGACATTGAACCGATAAGTGTTGACACTCTGTTTGTAACGTCTGGTGAACGATTTGACTTTATTGTCAATACACAAAATAGTATTGAAGATTATTTTATTCGGGTGAGGGCATTGCCGCCTTGCAATGACACAGTTGAGGATTTTGCTGTACTAAGATACAGTATGGATGAAGCTAATCAAGTTAAAATTGATTTTTTAAATCGAGAAGTTCCAAAAACTTTTGAATTATTTGAAACACAGAAGACATTTAATTATCCAGGACAAGATGGAAGTTCAAGTCAATTTCCAGTTGGAAAAAGTAGAAAAATAATCGAAAGCATCGCCAATGCTAAACCAGATGAAGTTTTTTACTTTTTTATGGCAACACCTAAAATTGACAATAATGTTCTGTTCAGCAAAGGAAATCATATGAAATATATGGGTGAGTATATGCTGTATATGATGATTTATGTTTTTATGGCACTCGACATAAATTTATTATTGTCATTGATTTATCTTCATGGAACCATGCATACTGTAGGACATGAGAAAGAGATACAAGCAAATAGAAGCAGTTAAGTGCCTTGCTGGTCGAATAGGTAAGGCGCTTGGCTCAAATTTGGTATGGTAACTCGAAGGTCGTCGGTTCGAATCCAGCCATTTCCAAATTTGTTCTTTTTCAGAAGTTTAGATACTTCGACTGCTTAATGTACGAGTCAAGCCATAATTGGGCATTTTGGGCAACGTTGGATTAAGGAACGGATCAGGAACTTGAAGTGTAGCGGGAGAAATAGGAACGAGAGCTACAAGATTACCTTATAATGGAATATTGTCAGAACGGACCTGAAATGTATCACGTCACGCCCACAGAAGATTGAAACGAGAGCCTTAGTTTATTTGAAACCTAGATTTGAAGATTAGAAGCTTGATTCTACGTCACCCATAGTGATATGAAATGTATCACTAATCAATGTAAAAAGTAAAACATGTATAAATACTAATTCTTCCGGACGGTAACGTCGACAAATAAATAATAAAGACTCTTAAACTTAACTTAACTTAAGAGCAAATCATGTGAATGAAAAGGGGTGGAAATGGTTTTATTCGGATTTAAGAAGAATAGTTTTGGGACTTTACAAGATTTAAACCACTAGAAATTTTAAATAAACTGACATAACTGCCAGAAACTGACAGGATTCTAAGAATATAAATGAAACTGATTGGATTCCTGAAAAATGCTTTAAACTGGCAGAATCAACTGAAACTGCTAGAATTTGATAGAATTATCTCAAAATGATCTAAGCTTCTAGAACTACTAGAAATTAACAGAAATTGAGAATTTTTTGGTCAGAAAGAAGACCTTTAATCAAATCTTACTATCCCAATGTAAAGTTAAATTCCCTTGGATGATCTACTTACCGATTTCAATTCATCAACATTTGACACATTCATCACTCAGTGTTTCAATTTTATTTTTATCATTTTCTTACTCTGTCCCTAGTGACCTCGGATGAATTGAACAACAACAACATTGGAACAATCAACAACATCAGCCTCAAACTTCCGAATTTTCCACTCATGCTTTACCGAAAGTCAATTAATGAATCAACTTTCTGTGATAATTCAAGTCTGAAAAATTGCATTCATAATTCATCGCTTTGTGAATGCATCCATCGAGTTAAAGTCAAGCTGAATTCTGTTATTGAATTTAATTTGATTGACATTGAGGACAATTCGAAACATCCATTTCATTTACATGGACATAAATTTTATGTCATTGACACTGGATATTTTAATGACACAAAAGCTGATGTTGTGGAAGTGGTGAAAAAAAGGAGAGGAAACTTAATGCCAATTTTAAAAGACACCGTCACGATACCAAATGGAGGATTTGTAAAAATAAAATTTAAAGCTGATAATCCAGGATTCTGGCTTGCTCATTGTCATTTTGATTACCATTTTGCTATTGGAATGGGATTTATTCTACAAGTTGGAGAAATGAATGAGATGAAGGAGCCACCGGAGGGATTGAGTGGAGACTGCAATAATTTTATGCCAGAATCAATTGAAATTTAAGAACTGGAATAAAAAATTTGAATTTTTTTTCAATTTAGTGGACATTTTTGTATTATTTGTTAAACAGATGACAGAAAATCAGCACGTCCACATGATAAGAGATTTTCTGCACGTTCCACTATGAATGATTGAATGTAAACAAGACAAATGATTCAATAAACAATAACAACTGATTCTAGCAGCTTCGGGTCAAATTAATCTGTTGAAATAGGCAAAAAGTAATATCAATTGATGTGTGACTTTATGAATCTGTTTTGTAAATGTTGGGTGTGTCTTCATTTAAGGAATGATTAGGAAGTAATGCAAAAATTGACAACTGATGCAAGTTGAGAGGATTTTGAAGAACTGGAATAAAATGACACAATTAGACTAAACGACTTTAAATTGAGAAATTCCTGGAATTTAATAAAATTTGATAAAACGTTCAAAAATCGTAAGAGTTTAACTAAACTACTTAAATTGCTTGAAATTGCCAAGCTCAAGAAATTTGCAAATTTAAAATGTCAGTTGCATCCCTTCTCCTGATATTAATGTAACATTTTCGTCTTAAAATACTGTTGAAACCTTTAAAGTTTTTCTTATTGATTTTCAATTTTATTAAATAATCTCTCTTTCAGTCTAAAATCCACCACAAAGCTGGTTCAATATCATCAGACGCATTACCATACCGATTGTCATTCAATAATTCTATAAAAAAAACTTTTATTCAATTTTACTTCCTTTCCATCTCAATTGTGTCAACATTCTCGCTTATAATCTCTAAAATTAGATTCCATTTCCATGCAAAATAAAATATGTAAATCAGTCTATCTATCTCCATATTGAGGACTATATTTTGGATATTGAAGAGGATTTACTTGAAAAATAAAATTATTTTTACTTATCTTGAAATTTTTGTTGGCTTCAATTTGTCACGTAGATGATGTTGAAGATGAAATCGCACAAGCGAAAGCTTTTTTGGATATTTTCATCAATGGACAGTGTGGCGTTGTTAATGGTTTGTGATAGAATAACTCAGTATACCAGATATAGTACTGATTAAGCCACACATACTCTAAAATAATAATTTAAAGAACACACCAAGAATCTAATTGTTAAAAAAAAGAAAATGAGACATAAAATCCTTCCAAGAACTTAACGCCAAAAGGATGAAGACGAAGAAAACTTTCGTTAACACTTAAAGCTTCTTATCTGACCTTATTAAATAAAGAAAATAAACCCTCAAAATTTGAGTCGTACGCTTCTAAATATTTACATGTCGAGTCTTATTTTTAGGTCTAAAATTAAAGAAGATTCACATCGATTTGAGTTGAATTTTCAATCATTTTTATCCGCCTTTCTTATGTAGAATTGATTTCACGTGCCGCATTTAAGTGTTACGAGTTGATGATCAAAAGGAAGTTCTGAATGAGATTTTGAGATATTTTTGGGTAAATTAACTTGAAGAATGGATGAACATCGATGATTTGAGTGAAGTTAAGGATGTTTTTGAATGCTTGGCATAAATCACTGCTTTTTAGCGAAATAATTTAAAGAACTAGTTATCAAAGACATACTTCTTAAAATTAGTATGCTTTTTGGAAGATATCAAGTCATCATAAGCAAAAGTTAAGTCATAAATTTAGCATGCTCTCAAAAATGACACCTAGCTAAGCTTGATAATTCTTCTGTTTTATGACATTTAGATAAAATCAAATCAGACATGATTTTATCAAAAGGTTACATGAGAACCTTTAAAATCTGAAATGAAAAAATCTTTGAACTTCAATTTCATGTCTTAAAGGTTAAAATCTAATCAATTCTCAACACAGAGTAAAAGCATCTCAATTTCTAAATAAATGTAGGCGTACGTCACAAAACTTCCATTAAATTTTCTCTTAAAGCTTTTCACTCGAAATAGATTTCAGATCAATTGATTGTCAGTTTAATTTTCACTTTTGATGATTTAAAGGAGGTTAAAACCTTTCAATTACACTTTTGCACCCACTCACATTCCTAGAGAAAAAAAAAATCTTCAAAATGATTGCGATTTAATGAAGAAAGTTTTATTAACCATTAATGTTAAATTTAATAAACGGAGACATATGATAATAACCAGGTTGGGGAGGGAATGGGGGGAGGGGCTAGAGTTTTTATAAATCTTTTCTCTCGCTTACTGTTCTCCCACCTCAAATTCCTGGCTACGCCTCAATCTTTATTATTGCAGCCGGTCTACATAAATTAAATATCAAAAATCTCTGTTGATTGATTGCAACTTTAAATTTTTAATTGAGTGTTATTGTATGATTTCATGCCTAATTGATATTAATCGAAGTCTGAACTTTAAATTGCTAATTAGAGTAGCTTTCACTTTTTATTTTCAACATTATTAGTATTAGTTTAAGTTTTGAAGTAATCAAGTCAACTTAACATGTTTAAAAATTCTATTACTTTAATAATTTGCCTAGTGATGCTTTTTTTTTTGGTTTGTATTTCATTTTATTTGTAAGTAACCAGGTGGTTGTGTTACAAAATATATGAATTTTTAGCTACATAGTGTAATTTTTATAATATTTAATGATTTAATTATTTATTAGCATCACAATACATCTCATAGAAACATTCTTTAATTCTAGTCTTGAATAAACTCAATGAAAAAGTATTCTTAACAGCTTTTATCACAATTGCTAGCTTTTCAAATACCAACGGTAAGTTCAAATCATTTTCTTAGCAACACAGCAATAAAAATTTAAATTTAAGCTAAAAGGAATTCCTATTTTGATGTTCAGCTTGACCGCATTGAACAGATTTTTATCGATACATCAATCATAAACTGGTCTGGTGTAAAAGTCAAAAAAATTAACAAAACTCGATCAATTGTTGGTGAAGTTACTTTTTATTTAGCAGTTGGCAATGAAATAATGCTGGATGGAGTCGCCCATGTCAAACAAGGAGGCGAATATAGAGTAATGCCTTACAAGAAGCCAAAAAAACCATTGTGTCAATATTTTGAAGATGATGATTATGTTTATCCAAAACTGGCTGAAGTTTCTGATTTTCCATTGGATATTAAAGCAAACTGTCCACTGAAGAAGGTAAAGCAAGGCACACAAAATAAATATTTCAGCATGAAAACTTGAATCCATCAATAAGGTGGTACCACACAATTTTTTTGGTAGAAAATTTTGATTTGTGCCTTTCAGGTTCGTTATTCTGTGTCCTCCTGTGACTTATTGTTGATTGTAATTCCTTAGATACTGTTGTACCAATACAATCTTGTGCATCCTTTTTTATCCTGAACTTTAAAATGCCTCGTCTTACTTGTCATTTACTTTCAGGGAACATACAAAATAAATGGATACTCTTTAGACTTAGAAAAAGTTCCTAAAGTTATCGCCCCATCTAGAGATTATGCTGCAGAGCTAATTGGATATAAAAATGACGTCATGGTCTGTCAAATTCGAATGTATGGATCGATTGTTAGTGTTTGAATTTTTTTCTTCTGCATTTAACGTCAAATGGAGACAAAATTATGTCCAATTCAAATAAAAATCTGTAATTTATAGTATTTGTGATAATAAAATCTTGTCGAAGAACAAATTTAACAAGTTTTGAAGGCACTTCAAAGTTAATCCAAATAATTGTACCTTTAGTACCTTTAGTAGTGTGTAGCCAGGGGGATTTTAGGGCAAATCCTCCGACGTCAATACAAATGTCTGCTGGGGTTTTGATTTTTTTCATGAAAAAAATTCTAGGTTCACAGGAATGTGCAGTTGGATCTTATCGTTTTAGGTTAGGGTCCATTGGTTAACTTGTCGCATATCCCATAGATACATACGTCTGTAGCAATTACCTCATTTGTTATTAATTAATGTTATTGATTTTAATGAGCATCAAAAATGTTAATCAAGTAACTTTCCAAATTTCCAAATTTCAATAACAACGTTGCATGTCAAAATGCAGTAAAAAATCTACAAATATCATGTAAATGTTTTAATTGGAAAATTTTTTGATTTTGAAAATTTATTAATTTCACATTGATTTTTCCATTTTTTAACTTTGAGTTCAGGACTTGACTAGAGCACACGTTTAGAAAAATGTTTAAAACTTCATCAATTTCAATCATCTGTCTTGCCTTGCTTTCATCATTCATGCAGGCTCTACAAATTCCAGCTGTAAGTTCAATTATTTTCCTTTTTTAACTTAAACTATTGAATTTAAAATGTAGGGTCAAAGCAACTCGTACTTTGATGTTCAACTTGACCACGTTGAGCAAATTTATGCTGATAAAAAATACACTGACTGGTCTGGAGTTAAAATCAAGAAAATCAATAAAACTCGGTCAATGTTTGGTGAAGTTGTTTTCTATCAAGCACTTGGGAATGAAATAATGATCCAAGGAAATGGTTACATGAAGCAAGGTGGAGAATATAAGCAGATGCCATACAGAGTCCCAAAAACTCCACTGTGTCAATTCTTTGACGATGACGTTTACGTTTATCCAAAATTAGCAGAAAAATCTGATTTTCCTTCGAATGTTAAGGCTAATTGTCCACTTAAAGAGGTGAGAAGTGCGTCTCCAGTTATCCTTTATCTTTAATTGTACAGTCGGTCTCCTCTGTTTATTATTGATCATCCCTGACTATTCTAGATCTTTCAAACTTGCTATCTCCATTGTCTCCTTTTGACTCTTTAAATCATTTCCTGCAACTTAGTCTTACAATTTGTCTAACCTTATGTGTTCTTATTTTATATCCCCTGTCTATCATCCCATTAAATAACCATCCCTGTCCATAGTTTATTTTTCCGTTGATCTCCTGTCCTACGCTTTTCAACAGTTCCCAAAACATCAATTTAAGTATTTTCAGAATAATTTAAATGTTGATTTTCAGGGAACTTACAAAATAGACGGCTTCTTTTTGGACTTGGATAAACTACCCAAAGTTATTGCTCCATCAGGTGACTATGCATCGGAGCTGACTTGGTATAAAGATGACGTCTTGATCTTTCACTTCCGATTGTATGGAACAATTGTAAATGTTTAGTTTCTAATGATGAGAAATCTTGAAGAACCAAGCTTGTTGCAAGCTAGTGATTACTCTTTATATAAATAAAAGTATTAACGTTGTAAGATCTACCAAATCAACATGTTAATGCATGAGTGAATACATTTTATAAAAAGGGAATAAAGGTTCTAAGCAGATGCGTGTGCAATTAAATATTTAAAGCTTTTAAACAGTGCAGTCAAAGTTTTAAATTTAAAAACAGTTTATTAAGATTTTAAGCAATCTTATTACTTTTTTATGTACGCACTTTCATTTTGATCCTCATACTTATAAACTTCCCACAAAACAGGTGTTGTTTGAAAAATTAACAACTTATTTTTTTTTGCACAAGCGACAAAAACACGGAAAACTTTTTCATCTTTAACCAAGCATAAAAAAGGTCACCAAACGCGTAAAAATGTAGACAGTAAACAAATTTTGTGTTTTTCGGGGCTAATTTTCAAATTATGTCAATTAAATATGTTTTTTTTGTCAGTTTTTCTAGTGATTTAACAAAGATTGCAAATGAACATTTCACTAAGTGGTAAAGAGCTCAAACTCTCACATTTAGCTATATTTTTACATCCGTCAATGATTGACATCATTAACATTCGACGCCCTATCGCTTGACAACGGGTTGTGTCAGTTGTGAACATTTAATGCCTCAAAAGGAGATGCTGAGGAGCTTTTAAAGAAAAGTTCTTCTTTTCGCATATTTTTGTTAACATTTAAATAATTCTTTGGATTTTAATTTCGCATTTATATTTTTTTTCAAATTCTCGATAAAATTTGATAATATAAAAATGAAAAGCATAAGACACGATTATTTTTTCAAACATCTCAATCAGTAATGTCAGCTAAACATCTATGATAATCACACATAAAATATACTTATCACACATGTACATCTACATTGCCATCAAATGCGTACAAAAAAAAAGTAAATTCACTCAATAAATCAGTTGTCAAGATTATCTCAAGTTATCAAGTTTGGGTCATCAGCTCAGCAGATTTGAAAACTTTTTTTTAAGTAAATAATGGATCCGTCAAAGGCCACAGAGATAACAAGTGAGTGTCGATCTTGTTGGAAAATTAGGAACATTTTCAAATCTGAATTTTGATTTGTAAAAACGTCAAAAAAAAAAATAAGACTGCAAAAATTATTAATTAAATACAGAGGTTGCATACAATTCTTAGGTCACTGTCAAAAGGAAGTGCTTAATAAAATATGTTTTTGTATTCTTTTCAAACACACTCGAGACTTGCTCGAGACACATAAAACGTTATTTTTATCGCTCCACATGCTTGCTTTTGTTCATTAATGAATTTAAATAAGTAAAATTTCACTCAAATATATTAAGCAAATTAAGGTCTAATATTTATTAGGTCATATTTAGAGTACATAACATTAAATATCTGCTCTATTAAGTACTGCTGAAGTGTCCTTGTTGTCTATTACAATCTCAATGTTTCTGGTTCTTAGATTTTTTCACAAAAGCTGTTATTTTTAAATTATTTCAATCGTAAACATTAGCTTGGCCTATTCTTGCATAACTTTTTACTCATCTTTTTCACCACTTTGAATTTTTATTTTCAAAAATGGAAAATCCGTTAATTAACGTTTAATGTCAATTACGATAATTTGATACAAATTGAGATCTTTAATGTTCCTAGAACGCTGAATCTCATAATTTTACCTCTTTTGTTAATATAGTATTAAGATCAAAGGTTTTTAAGCCGATCTCAACAGAAACAGTTAACACCGTTGAGAATGGCTTTTCCTTTGCAAAAGTAAAGAAGAGAAAATGGAAAATCCGTTAATTAACGTTTAATGTCAATTACGATAATTTGATACAAATTGAGATCTTTAATGTTCCTAGAACGCTGAATCTCATAATTTTACCTCTTTTGTTAATATAGTATTAAGATCAAAGGTTTTTAAGCCGATCTCAACAGAAACAGTTAACACCGTTGAGAATGGCTTTTCCTTTGCAAAAGTAAAGAAGAGAATAATAAACAATAATAATAATAATAATAATAATAATAATAATAAATTAAATGTAGAAGATTTTTAAGCTATATGTTGCATTACAATATATCCATATCTGGTCACGAGCCAACTAAAGGTTTGACATAGAGAAGGAATGGTCAACCTTTTTTAAACCATGGCACACTTCAGTGTTTCTACATTACGCCAAAGAACCTTCCAAACCCCCCCCCCCCCCCCCCTGCCGACGTGTCAAGAAACAAAGGTTGACCATATCTGACAAATAGTTAAACCACCAATGGTTTAAAAACAACAAGACTAGTTCATATAATTATAAATTTTCAGATGAAGACTTTGAAATCAAAATCATTCCATCCAAGCCGAACACACAAATTCAACCAAAGCTTGTTGTCGATCAGTATGAAAAAATTAGAAGCAAGCAAATTACTACAAATTTCAAAAATCTTCTCAGTGCTTTAGCATTATTCGACTACATGTTCACAGATGACAAGCCCAAAGACGAAGAAATTGTCGTAAATCTCAAATTTGAAATTGACGAAAGCTTCACAGACCTCAGCTCATCACAGCTGTATTATTTGGGAATGAAATGTGAGCACAAAGCTGTCGTTGTTGCTATTTCATCGAAAGATGGAGAAAACATTTCAATTTATTGGAAATCAAGGGAGCTTCAACATTTTTTAACATTTAAACCTTACAGCGGGATGATTTTTAGAGAATATAAGGAGCTTTATGATTTTATTATTAAATTTTTGGTGACTTCATTGAGAAATGGACATCTTGGTGAGTAGGATTTGATGCATTTTAGGGGATTCGATGTGTTGTCAACTACGACTTATTGGAATACTTTGGGTACCATACCTACTTATATGTACTGGCATATAAGGGAAAGAGTTGAATTATGTTAATTACAATAGCAAGTTTGTAAAGATCTTCGAGGTACGCTACCCAAAAATTCAAAATCATTCCATCCTAACCGCTTCTCCCTCCCAATACCATTGGTGTCCCTAGATTCCTTATTCTTGAAATTAATTTCATCAATTTATCAATTTTTAGGAGTCTTCAATCAGCTCTTCATTCAACATGAAATGCAAGTCGCCGAGCTTCATTTCCTTGCTGACTCTCGTAACTTCAATCTTCTTCTTATCGCAGCTGAACAAGGAAATCCTTTGGTTATAAAAAATCTTCTGAATTTTAACATCACCACAAATTCACCAATTGAAGGAATCAATGCACAACGATTAGCTTATCATCATCGACACTATTCTGTGCTTGCTAATTTACTTGAGCATAATTTGCCATATCCATTTCTATTTGATGTCAATCATTCCTCAACTGAGATTAAGAATTTTATGGCAAAGTCCACTGAGCTTCATAAAATGATCATAGACAAGAATGAAGAGAAAATTATTGAAATTTTGACACAAAACTCTAATATTAGACATTTCTTTAATACCAAAAATGAATCAGCAGCTACAATAGCTGTTAAAAGTAGATCAATAGACATTTACAAAATTTTACTGACTCATAATGTTTGGTTTGGCATGAATGAAGACACAGAAGGGATTATTGGCGAATTAAATGAGAATTTGCAGGAAGAATTGAAAATAATCCACAAAGAATTCTCTAAGGACGTGCCGGAAAAGCACATTAATGTCTTGATTGAAAATTCTACAGTCGGTCCTGATGAGACATCCGACGAACAGCGACTAGATCTACTAAAGTCTGCATTTATAACTTTAAATGACATTTCTTTAATTAAAACAATTTTAATCATCGTAGCAGCTTCAAGGAACTTCCAAATAATCTTCGATTTTAAACGCGATTCCATAAATTTGGTTGATCCAAGCTCCGATTTGCCTTACAAATGTATTCTACACTCATCTAACATCCTTTATATCAATATTTGGCAAATAGTCCAACAAAACCGCAAAAATGAAGCCTTAGCAACTATAGCACACGAATTTTGTCACTATGCCTTGAACATGATTTATGATAATCTATCCAAGCCGTACATAACAACTGACCAACAAACTAGAGAGAAATTCAGAATAATTTCTCAGTTGTGCTACTCAAATTGTGAGAAAGAGGCAGCTATAAAGCAAGTTTATCAATATCCTAGACATATGCATCATGCTGAACTCATTGCTCGTGTTCCTTATTTACTTGCTAAGTACCATGACCAGCCAGAGAAGTTGGAGGGAATTCAGGAACATTTCAAGCCTCTTTTTGACATTTATAAACTGAAAATTATCAAGGAAATGGACAGTGCAATAATGGATATTGAGCACAGTGCAACAATTGAGAGCAAAATGAGCAGGAAGTCGAAGAAAAATTGGATTATTTTTGGAGTAAGTTTGGCAATTTTATTAGTTGTTGGACTAGGTTTGTTACTAGTATTATGTTTGTAATCCAATATTTAAATAAAATTTTGCTAGATAACCATTAAAAAATAAAAATGACTTATTATTTAAGCAGTTAAGTACCTTGCTGGTTGAATAGGTAAGACACTTGACTCAAATTTGGGATGGCAACTAGAAGGTCGTCGGTTAGAATCCAGCAATTTCCAAATTTGTTCTTTTCCGGAAGTTTATATACTTCGACTGCTTCCTGTACCCCTAATAGGCAAAGAGCATGCTCACAAATTTGAGCACATGCAAGAGCATACTCAATTATAGAAATTTATGTGCTCAAATGAACATACTCTCATGAGTACATAATGAGTACAAAAACGTAGTATACTCAGTTGAGTACATTCATTGAGTACGCTCTCTTACATACTCTAAGTACATCAACATGATACAAAAAATTTTCTTTATGTGCTCTCTTGAGTATACTTATTGAGTATGTCCTCTCTCACATTGTGAGTATGACAAATGTGAGTGTAATTTCAAAGACAGTATACTCTCGTCAGTATACTCTTCAAGTGTACTCAAGAGCATATTCAGAGCATATCTTTCTGATAATTCACATTTAAATACATTATGCTCATCTGAGTACACTTTCTGAGTGCACTCTCAAATGTACTCTGAGCACGTCATTGTAATAAGTTTATGTAAGAAACATTATGCTCCTCTGAGTACACTTTCTGAGTGCACTCTCAAATATACTCTAAGCACGTCTTTTTTACATGTCACATCCAATTGGATTATACTTAAATTCTCACTCTTAACAAATATTTACTTACAAGAATCTCTAGGTTTAATTTAAAAAAAAAAGTTTATAAATATCAGTTTGAAATCGTTTGTATGCTTCAGCACTGTACTTTTGTATTGGAAAAAAAATTGTCGAAAAATGAAATTTTTGCAATACTTCCTTCCGATGCAGTTTATGACCAAAACTTTGATTGAAACTGATGAGAATCATGATTTAAGACCTTTTGACATCTATAAATTTTTACTTGGATGCTTCAGTTCCTTTAATTTTGGGTTTTGTTCAGATTGAAAAATCAGTTTTTTGAATTTTGTGAGGATATGGAACAAGGTAGCTTAAAATGGTCAGAGATGAAAAGTTTTATGCCTGGAATTTCACATCTTTTGCAAAACACAGATTTCAAATTGATTGCGACATTGCTGAGAAAATCGCAAAATACGCTTTCTGTAAGCAAACAAGCTAGCAAGTTAATCAGCAAGAAACGAGACATCGTAGAGACTTCTAGTTTTTTACATTTGATTCGTGCTGCTCTATAGAAGAGCTGCATTGTTTTTAGGCAAGGTAGAAACAGCCGTTGCTTCAGAAAAAGCAAAAAATTTTCCTTTCTTACGAATTTTTCAAAACAAAAGTTCACTGTGATTTTTATAAAATTAAACTTTTGATGAAAAAAAAAATTTTTAAAAATCTTTCAAAGAATGTTCGTTAAGCTTTAAACCTTCAAACATATGCTGAGCGAAGCTCAGCTGACGCGCTAGCTTCATACCTTCAAATTTATGCTGAGCGAAGCTCAGCTGATTCGCTAGCTTTATACCTTCAAACTTATGGATAACTTGGGTTTCTACCCGATACACTAGTTCTTAGCAATTTTTGCTTTATTTTTGCTCCTTAGAATCCAAAATGGCATCGGTTTCACATTAAGAAACAGTCAATTAACCTCTATGCCAAATTACAACTTATAATCTCAAAAAAGTTCAAAGTTATAGCTAAAATAAATTATACATAGGTTTCCAACCCTTAGAATCCAAAATGGCGTCGGTTATATATTCAGGTTATATACCACTTAACCTACATGCCAAATTTCAGATTAAAAGTTTAAAAGATGCAAAAGTTATGGCAAAAAAATAATTTGGTATGAAAAATGTATGGAAAAAAGTGAATAACTCCGTGAAAAGCTCGGAAAACGCGTGGAAAAATATGAAAATGGAAAAATTTATCATAAAACATCATGATCTATCAAAAAAGTGTAAAAAGAATGAAAACAAAGTTACTCACGGTGAGGCCTGAACCCGTGACCAATGAGTTGTGAGAAAATTCACCTTTTTAAGGGCTACGTAAAAATACGTATGTAAAACGTAAGGTAAAATTTCAGAAAAAGTTAATTTAATTAACCTTCCTTTCAGACGGACGGACAAAACGCAAGCAATAGCGTCATTTAAATTTTAAAATTTAAAATCAAAGTTAAATGTGTTATTTGCCAAAAATTTTACTTAAGATAACATAACTCGGTGGAGTAGAGGTAGCAACGCAGAATTTAGATTTTTAAAATTTTCATTAATCATTTCTTCTTTCTTTCTTTCTTTCATAGCTTTGAAAATTAAACAGCATAATAAAAAAAAGTACACATTAATTATATAAAAAAATAGTAAAAAAAAGTTTCAAAAAATAATAATTTTTATTTATTACGTCCTTTAAAGTACACTCAAAGTATACTCTTTTGAGTACATCAATAGTCAGATTAAGATGTACTTTTATGAGTATATTAAAAGTATGTCAAACTAAGTATGCTCATTTGAGCATATGTTTTATGTGCTTAATTGAGCATAAAGTATGTCACATGTGACATGACACATAATAAAATGTTTTATTTCAAGAGTGTGCTCAAAGTATAACTGAGTGAGTATGCTCTGGTGAGTACACTTTTAGGCGTAAAGTAGTGGCACAAACGTTTGTATGAAAGAGCATACTTTTTAGAGTACACTCAGCAAAAATTAGAGTGTTCTCTTTCTGTGCTCTTTGCCAATTAGGGTACGAGATCAATCAATAATTGGGCATTTAGACAACGTTGGATTAGGGAACGGGCTAGGAACTTTCAAAAATACTCTGTTGCTAAAAGCTTCATCTATTTTGTATAACTTCTTTGTATGCTCGCCAAGCTGACATTCTTTCACAAGTATTAATTTGAAGCTTCTGGACGTGAATGGAGGTTATAAACTACACAATTTCAAAAAGAATCAACCAAACGACAATCTTGACTTCGTCATAAATGAACTACATTTTATTCATCCAACTTCAAGCATCCTCATGTGCCACAATCTTCTTTATCCTCTAAAAAAAAAAAATATGCACAAAAAATTATTCCATTCAATGAATAAAATTTATTTTTAGAAATTTATCACAAAATCCAATAAGAAAAGCATCACTTATGACTGCATCAAGTACTGTAACTACATCTTTAACAGATGAAATGTGTTATGTCGTTCAAGACGATGATGAAATAGAATTTAAAAGGAATAAGAAGTCGAGCTCAGATTCAATTTAAAGTGAATGAGGAATTTTGATTTAATAGAAGTAACGTTAAAGTTCATTGACTTTGTGATTCAATTTATGGATGAAAGGATGAGTTGGATCAGGATTGCAAGTATATGTGTTACATTTTATGGGTAAGAGGGAAGAACGGAAATGGATTTTGTGATGAATTGATTTATTTGATCTGGAAATTTGTTACTTCTTGTAATCTATACAGGAACACGCATATTTGTATGAGAAAAGATAGCATATAGAAGTTCATTAAATGTGCCACAGGGGTGGACAGATATTGTACCTCTAGTTGATATCAATGTCTTAGTCAGTCAACAATCAACGTTTATTAGCTAGACCCTATTTTAGCTGGTATCAAGAACATTCTTGCATAGGGTCAGTCTTAGTAAGCTTTTCAATTGCGTTTTTAAGTGTAAAATTGCCAGAGAGTCCAAAATCATCTAAAAATGACTCCAAAGCTACACATCCTTTATAATTCATGCACCAAACAACTCATTTATGAACGATAAAAGCTTGAACACACAATAAAATTCATCAAAATAAGCTTATATGACATCATTAAGTTGTGTCTGCGTGTCAAGTCAGACACCTGAAGTATTATGGCTATGAACATGATAACTAGTTGTTAAAGCTACAGATTAATGTTCTTTATTACAGACTATAGACTATGATACTATGAAATTTTAGTTCCATTCACTTAATTCACTTACTCACGTCTTTACATTTTACTCGTGTGACGGCAATAAAAGCACGATTTATCATCCATGAATGACTTAATATAAAAAGATGTAATGTGAACACAAATGATGTAAGATGGTGTTGAAAAGTTGGTGAGGATAATGAAGCGCATTAACGTTGGTCTTTATATTATTCTAAGGTGATGGGTAGATTAAATCTTTGGAAGGATGGTGATTTTTCATGTGACAACAGCCTTATAGAGACATAAAGCTTAGAATCTATAAGTACTAGCATTTGCTGCTATTTTATACACTTCATTGAGGCATTTCTACTTAAAGCGTAAAAAAGCAACATAAACTCTTTGAAACGTGTTTTAGATTATTGATTTTTTAGAGCTGTTGCTACGCCTCTAAACCATATTTTGTAGTGCATGGACGGACATTGTTTGAGAAGCACTGTGCTAGCAGCTTGTCTTAATTCTGTCTCAAAACAGGGCAGAGCATATTGTAAGAAGTTCATTTCCTCAATCAACTAGACACCAATGTCCAACAAATTCTTTCATTTTTATACAAAATATAGCTAAGCACAATAACGAAGACATAGAAAATGAAGCGACACATAATAATGTGAATTTTTCTTTTCCTTTACGCACGGAGTTTAGGTAACAGTAAGATAGACGTGATGATACAATTTGATAAATGAAGCTCAGCCAAATGTGAAATGTTTTGAATAAAGATTTATTTTTTTGAAGACGATTAAATTTTGTGAGTCGTGACTTTATGAGGAATCATGACATTTTGATGATTTATTCGGTTTAATAGAAATTTGGAAGAATTCTAAGGTTATTGCGAATTATAATGATTTTTTATAAAGCTATTGCGTCATTAAATTCAGCACCCTTGCATCTCATAAAAAAGTCAACAAAGTTACAGTCGCCATTGCTGTTTCAAGTTTCCGTGAAGTTTTTCAATAATTTTCATATTTTTTCTAGCTATCAAGTTCAATTATATGGAATTATATCTGTAAACAATTTTCCTTTGCAGATGTAATTGGATAGAAAATTTATTTTAGGGGTAGTTCATATAATCAGTAACGCATACTGTGAAGTTATTGGTAGATTAGGACCTTTTGACAAGTTTAAGGTATAGAATTGATTATAATATGATCAAACGCGATTCATTAGATTCACACATGCAAACCTTTGCCCTACAACTTTAACATAATTTCGATTGGTTTCTTAGGTACGCTCCTGTAATATATTCAAATATGGCAAGGGTATACTTTAGTAACAATTCCATTTGATGGCAAGGATAGTGAACGTTGACACTCAGGTTCCTCCTAGGTTGAAATTAGGGCATGAAAATGAGGAAGCCTTCAAAAAAATGCGAGTGATGCCTATTTTCTCTTATTAAGCATCACACATCATTCAAATGAACCTCCTTTTAAAAACTTTGCCATAAAAAAATGAAAACTGTCGCTATTAATTTTAAAAATAGCTTTTGATGTACAAAGAAACTTATTTTTTATAGAAAAAGAACCAGAAAAACTTTGCTCTTCATTTTTTCCATCTCATTAGAAATTTTCCACAAATTTTCCTGTTTACAGAACATTTTAAAATGTAAACGCAAATAAAAAGAAATTGTTCACGATGAAAAAAGCCCTTGAGAAACTTTCACAAATTAAAATGTTTTTTTTTTTCATTAGGAATATTACAAAAAAGTTTATCTATTAGAAAAAAGTAATGAAATGTTCAAAAGAAATAAACATGACACGTGGAGTTGAAAAAATATTTTTTATATATATTCACATCGACTTCCATAAAATCTGATAAGAATTTGAATTTAATTTCTTAAATTTTTCTACATTTCAATATTTGGTCAAATAAACTTTGGATTTGATGTAATTTTTACACAAATCACATTGTAATGGAACTTTAGTATGAACTTGAGTCATGTGCATTCTCATAAAATGTGTATTTCTGAAGAAAGTTGAACATTTTTCACATTTAAGCAGATTTTTCATTTTTGGAAATCTTTTTGTCTTGTCTTTCATGTGCTCTTCCGTGATTTTATGTCAGTTGAGAAGTCACATCGATTATTCAAAATAAAAATAATTGCAAAAAAATAAGTTTTTTATTCGATTTTAAAGCTTCTTAAAAAAATCAGGATATTTTCAGGTTTCTGTCCCTGGCTATAACACCATTTCCATTAGTCCTAAATTTTTAATGTAAGGTGTGAATATGTCCACAGTTTGGATTCTACCTAATATTCAAGTTCTTGATAATTCTGAAAGAATTTCGATGTTTTCATTCTTCTTGGATGATAAAACAGAACAGGATTGGAATTAACAGATGCAAAAAGAAAAATTCTTTCGCATAAACCTGCCAAGCATCTGTTACAGTTCAGATCAAAAACAAATTCTAGGAAATAGAAATCTGCACAGATTCCCGAGCAGCAATTAACTTTCTCAAGTTGCAATGTTGAGTTGGGCTTAGGGAATGTTTGATTTAGTCTGGACATTAGCAATAACCTGTATTATTATTTCAAAAACTTTTTAAATTCCAATTTCAACGACAACATAGCTTTTATTATCAGCCTCAGCTGTTTTTTACACTTTCCGGGCTTTCTTAAACATTTGTATGCTCAAGATGTATCAGCAAGATAGGATAAAAGCATTTTTATGTAGGATGAAGGCCATCACATCAACAAAAATAACACGAAATGTAATACGAAGTATAAATCCATGGAGAATAGATGAAGTAATGCTTACGATTCTGAAAGAGATTTATATCATAAGTATAAAAATATAAAAACTTTTTTATGAGCCTTTTGATTCAGTTGAATTGAGTTAATTTTTCATTTGTGGAATGTATTTCCCTAACAGACAAAGAGCATGCTCTCAATGAGTATGCTCACTAAAATATATTAGCTGAGTATGCTCACGAGTTAACTCAGTCAGTACATTTAAGTGAGCATACTCATTGCGAGCATGCTCTTTGTCTGTTAGGGTTTAAGCGTAAGCAGCTATAGACCGAACTCAAAGTCAAATCTTATCTTTAAAAGACTCAATGTTCAACTTTAGTAACACTAAACTTTATTAAACATCCAAAAATAATTGATCATTTCCCACTCTCAGCTTTATATTGCTCCATCAATGCCTTAATATCAATCAAAGCTTGCATTATTCTCTTTCCAAATCGATCCGTACTCGTGAGGTCACAGCTCTTATAGCTCGCTAGTGATAATGTTATTCTATCCTCTCCAGTAATGATGTATGAGATGCTGTAACCATCTGAAAATTGGTAAAGTGATAAGATTGAGATATTTTTGGGATGTAACACAACTTTTTTGCTTCTTGCTATACATTTAACGGGCAAAAGAATAAGAGCTTACCATAAGAAATTGGACCAAATCCACCCGCACCTCCCTTTTAAAAAAAAGGTATAGAATAAAAATTGATTTATATCAGCAGACCTAATTTAATAAGATTTGACACTGTACATACCTTTAATTCTGGATACTTTTTAAGCTCTTCTAAAATTCTCGGCGACTGACCATGCGGTGTTTGACTTGTTGACATTCTCCATGGTTCACTCAGTAATTCTTCCAAAAATGGTGACTTAACCTCTAAATACCTAGCAACAATGTAGAGACAGAATAAATGTCTGTCGATTCCTTTTCCTGTCATTGCTTCTAAGTACGCCTTTTGGTGCCTTTCACATGCTACTTTTAGTAATCGAACTTTTTCTTTTGTTGTTGATTTTGGATCTTCCATAGCTCTTACCCATGCTGATGATTCAATTGAACAAGCTCTAACCGTTTCAGTACGACCATCACGGAATAGACGAGTCATTGATGCTTCATATGTTAATGAGAATTTACCAAAATCTCGGAAAAAAGCAAGTTGCAAAGCCATTTGACAAAATGCATCTGGTGAAAGTTTGCAGGTTTTTATGTAGCCTTTACCGAATTCAGTGAAGACAACGATTTGGAAGTCGACGTCCTGTTTGAGGGAGATTAGAGTTGTTAGTTTGAGAGTATAAATTATTGGTGCCAAGTTCAAGCAGTGGCATTACAATAGTCTTCAGCATTTTCTGACATAATATTTTAAATCCTACTTTTAATTCCTACTTTAGTTGAACAATATAGAACAGTGAGACTTGAAATATTTGACATGAAATGCTAAGATTTATTTGCAGGCTTTCAATAGTTTAACCCTAGGCTGTACTCAAGAAACCAGCCTAAACTTATTCCTGTCTAAAACTCCACCTTTTAAAAATGTCTACTTACATTGTAAAGCTTCATTCCATCTTCGTAAGCTTGATCAATTCTACTGATTAAATCTTCATTTGTGAAATCCCACTCAAGCCGTCTAGGTTTGATTTTGTATTCAAATTCTTTGTTTGATTTGATATTTCCTTCACTGTCATAGCTACAAATCAGATAAAAATTGGTAATGAAATTTATTATTGATTTAATAATAAATAAAAACTTACTCATGGATATCATAGATCATGGTTTCCTCAAATAATCTTGAAATGACTAAAGCGTCAGCCCAAGAGTGCTCTACATTGCAAGTTGACTGAAATTTTGATTTCAAAGTTAAAAAATTTGTTAATTTTAATTTTCTTAGGTAGATTTTAGATATGGTTCAGTATCGAGCAATCTTAAGTCTAAATCTTGCATACACCCCAATCATTACTTCAGAATGTTTTCAAAATACCCAACCCTACCCAAACTCACTTTAGCATTAGTTCCAATATTAACAGTAAACGTCTTATCAAACCAAATGTCATAAACATTTCCGCACATTGCATGCTTTCCAATTTTATGAAGGTTCTCTGGATTTGTGAGATTAACGAAATCACTCTCATATGGAACATCATCCAGGACCATCACAAAAGCAGCTGATTCAATAATGTGCAATGCTTTCTTGTTGATTCCTTTTGAAAAATATTTATCCCTTGTTTCTGCCCATTTTGGACGTTCCCATGATGTTAAGGATGCAAGATATTTCTCTCCGTGACTTGAGACTGGATTTGAGTTGACAATTTGATCAAATTGATATTGAATTTCAAGTGGTTTAAGGATCCTTCCATTATGATGAATCTTTACTTTGTACCAGCAGCCTTTGTGAAGAACTGCAATGTGATCAGAAGTCTCGAAATGAACAATCTTATCGCCATTGACACCTGGAATGCGAGTTGTGTTAAAGAGGCTGAAAATTGACAAATTATCAAATTGCTGGTTTTAGCCATTAAAAATTTAGTTAAATTTTACCGTTCATACTGCATAGAACACAGTGGAACCATACCCTGTCCCAGCAGTGGTTCAATCTCATGCTTATCAAGTTTCTTTCTATATTCAATAAACATATGTGTCACATTCGCAGCTCTGGCTGTTTGTTTTGTTGTTGGATGTGCAATATGGTCAGTAAAGTGGATGTTACTTTTTGCCATCAATGGACCAGGACTCTTTAGGTAAACATATTCTTCCCACCAGTCAGATACATAGTTTGGTGCCCACCAGCTCTTTAAGATTAAATATTTTTGAAGCTTTCTCCCAATTCCACTCTCAAAATCTTCAGCTTCTCTTTTAAGTCGCTGATAGTTTTCATCATCAACAATTGGACGCATTGATCGAAGATATCTTTGGATGGTATCCTTGAGTGGTGGAACTGAGAGACGAGGAAGGAGACTTTGGAAGCTGTAAAGTTGTGGTGGATTTAATCTGATGAATCCTATTGAAAATCAGTGGAATTAAATAGGTATAGAGTATAAAATAAAGGATATAAAACCTTTCAGAGTTGCAGCCCAAATTTTAGTCTTCAAACTAACTTTAGCTCCCCTTCCTTCAAACATGTATCCTTGATATTGCAATAAGATTTTCAATATTAATTTTAATACAATTGTAAGGACAACCCAGCTTGTAAATCCAATTATGATGCATGACACAACTTGCCAGAGATATGATGAGCTAAAATTTTGAGCAAATTAATCAGACTTCAAACCAAATTTTGAATATAAAGAAATCTTTACCTTGGCATATAAGCAGTTAATCTATCAACACTCCCTAAAGACCATTTAGGATTATTTCCTCCAAAATGAACAACCATTATTGCTCCAATCAGCACAAAAACTGTGTCAATATGTGCTGGATAAATTAAATTTTTTACTGAATTTTTAAATTTTCCTGACTTTTTCTTGTATGATCTCCATCCAGATCGCCACAGGAGCTTTAATACTGCTTTGTCGTGATTTTCTTCAGTAGGATCATGAATCCTAGAGGATCCATAATGGGTTGCTTGAAATGCTTCAGCCATTTTGTTTGTTGTAGGGCTTTGTGGCTGTAAAGGATGTTTGATTTAAATTGGGTATTATTTATATGATCTTAATATTTATATAATAAATGAGGCTAGAGTTTCTGATTGTCCCAGGAAGAAATTGCTCTTGCTTATCTTTAGTATAAAGATAGAAATAAGCTAGAAGCTGAAGCGGAGCCAAAAACCTTTAAATATGATTTTTTGGATCCTATAGCTACGCACATGACATTAAAGACAATTTAAAATAAGCTATATACCTAATAGTCTTAATATCAACACTTTAAAGCTAAAACAACCTAATGCTGGTGCTTAATTTCATCACAATCAACCTGATTGCATAATCATACCTTTTATTGACAAAACAAAAACAATTTAATCCCGCACATTAATCCACAAATATTGCGTAATTTCTTATCTTATCGACATTTCTCTTTTTATTCCACGTGAACGATTTATTATTTTTTTGCGGGAGTCTCCAAGCGGTTTTCAAAGTCCAAATACAAAGACTTTATTCTATTATTTGAGGTAAGCAACCTTATCAGTCACATTCTCGTGAGTATTTTGAACGTTATCAAGATGAGAACTTTGGGATACAATACAAAGTTTACTGATAGAAATGCAGACTGAATAGAAATGTTGAGGAAGGAACGGAAATGTGAGATTTATTGTAAAAGTTTAAAGAACTCAAAAATGGGTTGAAATGATTTCTATTCTGAGGGATTTGAATGGAAGTTTGAGGATTAAATCAGAACTTTTTTTTGATGAGGATTAAGTTTATTGTTGGGGAAGGTTGGAATTGGGATCTGAGATAGATTTATTGTTTATTTTCTATTAATAGAGAACTGCAGATAATTTGGTTTCATGTGGGATGATTAAAGTGACAATCAGTATCTTAGGGATGTGATTTATTCTTAACGTTTTTTTCTAAAATTATTGAGAGAGGTCGACGAAGAGATGACTTGCAATAATCAAATTCTTTTGATCATCATTTTTACTCAGTGATTTTCAATTTTTAAAATACACGACACACTTAATTAGACTTTTAGACATTAAATAACTCAACAGTTCAAAAACTTCACTTAAAACGGTTTAGTAGCATTTCAAAGCGAGTTATTTCACACAAATCGTCTAAACCTTACAAAAATATAATTACACAAATATCGCAAAACACCCCCAAAAAATTGAATCTTATCCAAAATATTTTAAGCTTCATTTACTTATGTTTTAAAACCAATATCAATAATTTTTCAATAAAACCAATTTATTTCAATATTTTTCAAACAACGACTAAAATTCAACTAGACGTGCTCAACGATAAACTCTCAATTTTATACGCATTGCATTTAGTACAAAATGTTGATAAGAGAATTATTTAAAGAAATCAAATTTGATAACAAAATTTATGTAGTCTTATCGATTTTAGGATTACTGTCCAGAAGATAAAAGTAATTGATGGATAATTGGATAGTTTGAGCCTCATTGAGTGGCCTTCACCTTTCGTCAGTGCCAGTTCTTTTGAAGGTATATTCTTGTTTTACAAGATATGATTTGACTTCAAAATTGTTTCCTATCTTAGCTAGGGTGACAATCTAATTTTTATGAAAATACATGACATTTGATAAATTTCTAAAATACAGGACACAAAGGAAAATTTGAAAATTAACGGAAATTTTCGTGAAAAAAATACAGGATCTGGAACAAAATTTTCAAATTTATACAGGACAGGGTTTTTAAATACAGGACTGTCCGTTGTAAAACTACGGAGATGGTCACCCTAATCTTAGCTGAGTTTCAAATAGAGGAAAAACTAGGCGGTACCTGACGAGCAAAAAAAGGCTGGATCAAGCTGTTCTACGAACTGCATTAATGTAAAACGCTCAGAGTACATCTCCTCTAACTTTGATGTTATAAACATACTTAAAACTGTGCCAATCTTCAAAAACCTACAAGTTGTGAATAGCTGATGTGAGATTAGATGAACGGCTTCCAAAGAAAATCATGCAAAGCCACACATGTGCGTGATTTTAAGCCACTTAATTTAATGTCTGGAGTCTAGACCAGAGTTGAAAGGTTCTGAAAAAAATTGGAATTTACATGTTCTTAAATTCAACAATTTTTAGTAAAGTTCTGGATTAAGAATTATCAAAATTTATTAAAATTGAAATCTAGTTGGCTGACCTTAATATTTTTAAATATCAGCGACTATGAAACTAATTTTCCGGTATCAGTCGGAAATGACTTTAAAACTAAGAATTTTTATTGTTTTCGTGATTTGCTTTCATTTCTAATATATCTTTTTTTTTTGTGTCACGTGAAACCTGAAACCTCAACAACTAGTAAATAGATTTTTATTTATTTTAAAAACACGACTCTTCAAGTTATTGTAAGACGACCATTTTTAAAGCCAAAAATATTTAAAATAAAGCATTTTCAGGGTACAAAAGTTAAAATATTTTAAAAACCTTTTCAGTTGCATTTTAAATAGGGTTCGGAAATACCAAAGTCATAAGATACAGTTTTAAAATGAATTTCTTCTTTGATTTTTTAATTGTTTTCGTGGCTTTTGATTCAAGTAAGAGTAATTATTATTAAGTTTGGTATCATGAAAGAACCTTAAGCTTCGTTTGGAAGCATTGACAAATTTTTTTGTGATGTTGTGATGTTGAATTTAATTAAGTAAAAATAATTTACAAAAAATTAAATAGCTTTTGCTGGAAGTCCATGCTCTGCTGTGTATGAAACAATTTCAAGTCTTCCAGATCGAGCAATTACTGCGTTACAAAGTGTTGCTGGAAATACAAATGCAGAAATAATATCAATGATTGAAGATCTCATGGAATTTTTTGATCCTAGTCCCAATGTCATAGCTAAATTAAACAAGTTGCATGACGGACAAGATTCAACAATTGACTGTATTATTAGTTATTTTTATTAAGATTTTAAGGTCACCTTGTTTCTGAATTTAATGAATTCTAAATAAAATAATAATTGTATTAAATTTGGAGTTTTATTTCCTGAACGTTTATTGTAACTGATCCTTAACTCAGGCATAGAGTCTCGTGGGACCGGTGGAACGATGTCTTTAAATCTAGCTTTTCAAGGAATTATGTTTGCGAATATTCTTCAGTGTCATGAAGTAATATTAAAGGTTCCAAAAAAATTTCAATTAAAGCTTAAGCATGTTCATCTCAATTTAAAGCCCCCGAAAGCATATCTCAATCTTAAATGTCAATGCTAATTTTTGATTGTTTCTCAAAAAGAATTACAATTTAATAAATTATTGTAATCAAGAAAATTAATTGAAATGATTTGATTAGGTTTGAAGAAAAGCTCACGCGTATTTCAACTTCTTCATGCTTTTCTGCCTCAAGACTTTATTTTTTAGCAAACGTTTGGCATTCAATAGTTACAGAAAATTATTTGAGATTTGAAAAATTTGAAGATTCAAGGTGAATTCAAGTTGAATTCAAGAATTTTAAGAATTTCCAAGACCACACTTATATATGCTGTCTTTTTTTATATTGTGAGCTTTTATTTTGTGTCATGACAAATTTTCTGCTCCAAAATTCTTGAGATATTTTTTCATTAATCCCAAAGGCGTATCGCATCAACGTCACATTCTCTACATGAATAGATGTGATATGCTAATTTTGGAGGAGATACACATGAAGTTGGTGAACGTAGTCATAATTCTAGGGATGGTAAAGATGAGTTGTGACAGCTTTGAGATGGTTTTTGAGTTACAATTCGTCTGTGGTGACGGTTAGTTGTGTTGTTGATCTTCAACCCTCCCTGACTATGTCTTTGCCCCCAACTTCCTTATTTTCAATAAACATTAACCTTTATTAAACTACACATCCAAATTCTAAACTTCGATTTCCTAACTTTAGCTGTCCTCCCCTATTCTCCATCACCTTGACAACAGCTCAGCCATAAATGGAATGTGATGAAAGTTATTTTGTGTATGTCATTCATTTTTTCGTCTGCAAAGCTCTGAACTTACGTTAAAAATTTAATAAACAAAAGTTACTTTTTCAACCTTCAATTTCAATCAGTTTGTTTATTTCTGTTACCGCTAAAGCTTCTTCTTCCAACCAGAATCATCAAAAATAAAAGTAAAATCTTGTTTCCACTGACATTAAATCATAAACACGAGCTGTGGGATTGCCTCGAAATGTGACGCAAAAATGATTTTTTTATGACAAATTAAAAATGATAACGAGCAGATTTAATGTGAATTTTATTACTTTAATATTTACCAAATAATGTGTCGTCATTTTCGCTGTCAGACACTTGGGGGTGATGAGTGAGTACTTGAGTTGAGATTTTCACTTTATTTACGTCCATTCTCATGAAAATTTGTCGTAAAAAAATACGAAATTTTATGTTTGAATGTGAAGAAGGTCAGATGTGGTCAGATGGATGGAAATTGTGTGTGAAAAGCTGCTGCGGTTTGAGGATTATAATTTGGAGTTGCTTATTATTTTGTAATGGATACTACGACTGGCAACAAGGAGGGGTATAGGGTGTCTGGAGTTGATTTGGCTGGTTTTGCCTAGCTCCATAAATCTATAGTTTTGTTTTGGTTTTAGCAATCTAGTGAATGGTTTAGACTTTACTAAGTACAACTTATTGCACGCTTTCCTGCTAGGTTCCTATTAGCCTATTACACATCAACTATTAAAAAAATATAATTTGCAGAGCTCGAAGTCGATAAATTTTTGAATGATGTCGTCTATGCAATACAAAATCAATAAAAAAATCCGAGTTGATTTCGAGCCGTAAGGTTGTGAACAGAGTAGTCCATAAAACTTACTAATATGACTTCCTTAATTGAATACAAAGTTCTTATAATGGCAAAGCTCATTTCATTCACTCAAATTCATTAAATATTTACATTTCATATCTAATTCATTTTCTTATTATTTTTAGATAAAATTTCTCAGTATTGCACAACACAACATGACATTAATATAAAAATTTGCTAGGAAAATTACTGAGACGCAAAAAATTGTGTTAAAAAATTCTAGGGGAGTTGAAAAAATATTATTTTTGAGGTTAATTTGCTTGTGTAAACTGATTTATTTTTAGGTTCGATAAAATTGGCTCGTGTTTAAATTTAAAATAATATTTTCGAGTAATTTTGTTAAATTGGATTTGCCGCTAAAAATATAACGAGAATATTGAAATATAATTGAATTTAGAAAATGTGAATTGAATCATTCAACATATGTTTCGGATTTTTTAAGCTTTTACATTGTCAATTGGGAATACTTTCGATTGCTGAATATTTGTTTTGACAAAACTAATTCAACTGTGTTTGTTTGCATTCTTACAATTGAATAATGATGTGAACATTAATTATTAATGCAAAATCAGCCAAATTATTTTCAATGAAGACCTTCAGCAACCAGCAGAATAGTCAAGTCAGCATTTAAAATTTTTTTTTGCATCATACACTTCTTTTAATGATTCTGGTGAAATGTTAATGATGAATATGTCTAGACATGAAATTCAAGATTCTGCTGCATTAACTCTTTTATTTTTAAGCTGCTGATATTTTCGTCTAATTAGGATTTATGATAGCGGATGCTATTAAGTTAGTGCTGAATTGACCACATCATAATTTTTTAAGAAAGATGAAGCACAAAGAAAAACTCAAAGTATGGTTTTTAAAATGATCCGTGGCTTGATAAGCACATTTAGAGCATTCAAGGGAACCAAATCAAAAGTATGATTAAGATTAATATTTTGGTCAACAATTCTCCTCTGCCAGTGACTTTTGAACACTTGTGACAATTTTTAATCACTTTGATCAGTGTCTCATCTTTGATGTTCTGGAAATGACTGATTTCTGAGGATATCTTTGGTTAACTTATAATTTTTGTACAACTTGGTAAAGTCCATTATTTCTCATATTGCCTCTCTGTTGTACATCGTTGAGTCATTAAACATTGCCTTGCTTGTTACCATCAGTAAAGCTCACATACACTTCCATTAGGCGTATCCTTTATCTCAACCCATAAGCTCATCTGCTCATAGAACTACAACAGATCCGAGCTCTTCTCTCTATTCTAATTATCTTCTAAACCACGTAAAGTTCACTAAACTAGAAACAAGATTTTGTTCAGAAAAAAAGAAAAGAATTCAGCTGACCGAAATGATTTACGAGCATATTCATTTTTCATGAGCAGCAACATGATGCTAACTGGTTTCTATCGTTTCATCAAACAAGACATGATGAATTAAGTGTACTGCATGAAATTCAAGACATTATTAGCTGTTCATTTTCAGAGAGGATTATTCTTAAGTATTTTGTAAAAGTTTATTGTCCATAAAATATGTACTTAAATATGTTGTGCTGAAATATCTGAGAAGCTTATTTTCAAGTGACAGGTCAGGGAGATTATAAAGCTTCTTTATGAATGTAATTTCTTGGAAAAATGTACGATTAGAGAGATTTTGTGGAGATGGGATTTTGTGGTGGTGTTTAGGGGTTGTAGATGTTACTTTTGTGTATGTTGAGGATGTGATGCTGACCTATGCGACTCGATCAATGCGGTTAACTTTCTTTTTGCTACTTCGTACATTTCATATATCTTGACTGTTCCTATTTTTGAATTTGACTGCTCAATTCTATGATTTTTAACCTAAATCAGTCACATTCTTAAATCTTGACCTAGACTAGTCCCAACTTTGGTTCTTAAACAAGACTGGACCCATTTTTAGCTCTTGAACTTAACTAGTTCCAACTTTGGTTCTTGAATCAACTCATAGTTATCAATTCGACTCTAGTAACCCAAAATAGTCAATTTATAAGTCATCCATATTCCAACATCAAAAAAGTCTAAAATTTCACTTCCTTAATATCTCATATTTCATATTTTCATATCTACTTCCGACATTCTCGACAAAGTAATATCTCTGAAAGTTTATGAAGGCAACAAATTCCCATATGGGGACTAAAAAAAAAACAAAAAAAAAAAAACCTTTACCTATTCAGATCAATTGTGATCCAGAGGTGCGCTAGGGCGATTCGCAGCTAATGAGAGTTTAACGAGTGAGGATGCGCCAAACCACTGCACTCAAACCTAGACCTACAATTTATAGTGGAATCCGAACCACTCCTTTGATGACATTTCTGTCTGTAGCCTACAAAGGAAGGCTGTGAGCCTCATTTCCAGTACATATGATTCGAAAAAGAACAAGTGAAAAATTTCCCATACCCAGTCTCGAACCCATGATCGCTGTGTCGGTATTGCAATAATTAGGTACCGAAGTACTAAACCATTCCGCCACCGAGCCACTTTAGCTCACATATGGGGACTAAGCAGCATGTTTATGTTATTTTACCATCACGATACAAATAAAATTTCGCTTTTCCTGTTTATTTATAGTCCGAGATGTGAATATCCTTGCCATGGGCATTAACGTATGAACAAAAATTCTTTCTAAATTGCAAAGTATTCTTTTCTATCGAGAGAATTTCTTGTTGCTAGTAATAATTTCTCGATTTTATTCATAAGAACTGTGCAATGTTTCTCAATGAAGCTGTACTAAAAAGAAACATTTAGAGGATTTTGAGAGAAAAATGATAAAAATGAGAGCAAAAGGACGAAAGAGATTCTTCAAAATCTGCTGAATTGGATGGCGAACTTTGAGATTTAATTTTATGAGAAGTGAGAGAAAATGTTTTAGGATTTTAAAGCAATGAACATTCAACAATGAGCATTGAACAGTCATTATTGCTTTGAAATTGATGATTCTTTTGAGAATGTTTTAGTTCACAGTATTTAGTGCTTATGAATGTTTTTGATTGTTTTCTTATTTTGAAATTAAGAATGTTTTACGTATAATTTTACAGGCACTTAATCAAAAATTCTTATGATGAATTAGCATTTGAGCTACGACGACGTCCGAATCCTTGCACCACTT